TAGTTATAATATCACTCAATACAATACTAAAAGTACATTTAGAACCTTTTTTGTTATTTAACGTACAATGAAGTTTATATTTGATTCAAGTTCCCCAGTTTTACTGTTAATTATACAAAATGAACATTTAAATGTTTACATTTAACCCTTTTAACCCCAGCTACTTTTTTAATAGAGTAGCCAAGATGCCCAAGGGAAAATATATGCGGAACGCTGAATTTTACTTAAAATGCTATAACTTTTTTATTTATTACTGTAATTGAATAATTTTTTTTTTAATTTGATTCCCAAAAATTCCTCTACTTAATATATGTAACAACAAACAAAACATAATTAAAAAAAAAAAAAAAAATTAGTCAGTTTACTAATTTTTATTTATTTTTGTTTTTATTTTTTGAAAGTAGACCAAGATAACACAAAATAAAAGTCTTCCCATCACCACAATATTGTTGTCATCTGATAGCAAATTTATTTCTCTACATAGAAAATAAATATTATCAACATACCTTGGAAAATAATGAAGAACAATTCGTTCAAAGAAAATGCTGCACTTCCGCGGCTTTCCAACAAATATCACAAAATGTTCTCTATCAATGACATATTGCAAACAAGACATCTTTACTCCCAAAAATTGTTTTCATTGTCACTACACACACTATTTATGCACTTACACTATTTTATACACTTATAAAAGTTCAATATTTACTATATACAACAATAAAAAAAATAAAAAAGTTAGCATTTGTGTTGATTGAAACAGACGGCATGCACGCCTTTTTTACATCTTATGCAGACTGTCCTGCTTTTTTTCCTAGTGCCACCAGCTGCTGTGCTTACTTTGCTGCAAACACTACAATTCCTTTCTTTTCTATCTGGTAAATATTCCATTCCAAAATGGTTCTGCATACCATCATCGCCACCAGCGCCAGCCATATTGGGCGGTCGAGCTTTGCTGTTCAACCATTCACGAGCCAACTCCTCAACAATTTCAATAGTGAACTGCAGTCTTGTAAGCTGTTTTCCAGTACAATTTTCTTTGTATATAATGTAGGCATTTAGTACCATCCTGGCAAATATATTGAAAACTACCTTTTTCCAATATTTTACAGTTCTTCTCTCATCCAGGTAGCAATACAGCATCTGATCTGATGAGTCAACGCCTCCCATGTACATATTATAGGTGTTGATAAGTTCTGGTTTTGTTTTTATAACATTTTCATTGCCTCTTCTCTTCACTTTTTCGACAGATTTTGCAGTTCCCTTAGTTGACAACAAAATCACTGGTTTTTTCTGGCTCTTCTTTTCACGGTAGGATAAAAATAAATTAGGCCCATTTCGCACATACTTCTTTTCCCCTACATCTAGGTTTTCTTTGATTTCTTCTGGAATCCCTTTTCTGTTTCTTCGCACTGTGCCAGTCAAGAAGGTACATTTACTGTACAGATATTCAGCTAACGGTAGACTCACAAAAAAATTATCCAGGAATATGTGGTAACCTTTATTCAAATACTGACAAATCAAAAGTAAATTTTTCACAACTTTGTAAGCCAGACCATGTTCTTTTTTTCCATCATTACTTTTAGAACCTTTATAACAATCAAAGGCTAAGCAGTACTTTGTCACAGAATCACATAACATCCACAATTTTATCCCCCATTTATGGTGGTGTTTGTTGGGTAAGTACTGTAGGATTTTTGAATGACTTTTTGTGCCTACAAGGCTTTCATCTACAGAAAGTTCACGATGCGGTGTGTAGTAGGTTCGAAATACACGATTTGCATGCTCCATTACTGGTAAAAATTTACCACAGGGATTATAATTTGGTTCGTTAGGCTTCGGAAGAGTTCTATTATCGGCAACATGGAAGAACTGCAAAAGGCTTTCAAATCGGTTCCGGCTAAACATTTCACGGAACCAAGGGGTTGCTTGAGACGTACATGTGGACCAATAACTCCTTATTGTTGGTTTTCTGATAATGCCCATGTTCAAAATAACTGCTATGAACCCTTTCATTTCGGTCAGATTTACTGGCTTCCAGTTACGAGCACTCGAGTGAGGCGACATGTTGGCTAGTGAATTTATGTACTGATTTGCGTACTGATTTGTCCGCAGCACAAATGTGCTCAGCAGTCCAACAGTAAAAAATAAATTGAAATATTCAATAGGCTTGGCGTCTGAATTTGGTACATGTTTTGGACCAGGGATCTCATTGTACGTAAAGTTGTGGTCGTAACCAGGATCGTTATCGTCATCAACCTGAGTCCATTTTATCACATTTTCAGTGGGCTCAGGCTCTAGAGGATTCTCATTTGGGGGAATTCCATTTTCTATGAGTTGTTCTGGTATGTTGTGATCAAATAGGCCTTGTATGACATCATTTATAATGCGATCAACATTTTCTAGGCCTAGGCCTACATCATTTGTTACACTAGGTATAGGCCTCTGACTTTCAATCTGGGGAGGTTCGATATTGTTTGAATTATTGACTAAATTATTGTCAGCTGATGGGCCTATGGATTCCGAAAGATTTTCATTTGGCCCTGATAAACCTTGACCTAGGCCTTCATGACCAAGAACTGTATTTTCATTTGAGGCCTGGTCCTCGTCAACATTTGTATCATTTACATTTTGAGACTGTAAAACCTCATCTATAACTATATTTTTGTTGTGTTCAACAACTGAGGTCAGTTTCATAAACCTAGGCCTACCTAGAGTCTTGCCCTTTGATGTTGATTGGACTTCGTCTTCTGAAGATTCTTCAGACATAACTGTGGATGGATCGAAGTCTGGATCTTCATCCGTATCATCCCCAAAAATATCCTCACTATCACTGTGAGTTTCATTTTCGGAAGAACTTGATTCATTATCAGAATCGGAACTTTCAATATTGTCAACAAAAGAATCACTCAACTCATCATCGTTTACTTCGACGTTTTCCACCCCACGAAGATTCCTGAGCAGCGAATTTTCACTAACAGGAGATTTCTCTCTTTTTCTTTTGTTCATTTTCAAAAGATTAACACTAAATTTCGCGAAATGAAACACGAAATAAAGTTGGAAACATTCACTGAGGTTACGCGATACAGACGACAACGTAAACAAACAGATAAACAGAACCTAGCGCCGGCCGGCAATACGACAGCTGACGACAGCCAATAGCGACAGTACACAGAGTACGAAAATCTTGTGAAACCACGACAAACTACACTTCTATGTGTAGTCCAATTCGTCGAAAGGCGTTACCCCGAATTCGAAGGCGTTTGGATTGCTAGGTGGTCAGTAAATGATGAAATAACAGACGTCCGATATATCGGACGTCGGGGATTTTCGCAAAACACCTTACGTCCGATATATCGGACGCTGGGGTTAAAAGGGTTAAATACAGTACTTTTGAAGATAAAAAATTCACTCAATAACTTCTGAAGATGATTGAATATTATCAATCTAGCAAAAGTTATTCTTAGGTATCTTTCAATAGTTATCTTAATCTTGTTCTAACAAAATAGTACATTAGTGACTTCCTGAACCAAAAACGCAAAGAAAATTACAGCTTTCAAAACCCACAGGAAAGCCGTAGTTTTCTACAAAAAGTAAAGCTGTGCTGTTATAATTAAGATTTTATATTTTCATTTGTCTCTAACTAATTTATCTTAAAACAAAGCGGTAAATCTTGGAATAAAATTGGAAGGGAGAAATCGATAGCCATTGTACCAAAATTTTGTTAGAACTAAATGAAGTTCTTGTGGAAATGGCACTCACCAAGCAAACATTTTGTGGTAAGACATTTTTTAACACACATTATTGTGTGAGTACTGTTTAAAAAGTTTAAAGCTGAATTGAATTTTAAATAATCAAATACTTAAAATATAAAAAAATAAAAAAATACAATGTTATATCATTTAAAAACTGTACAGTTATAGAAACATAGTGTAGAACTATTTTTGGAACATTGAGAGGAATGTCTTTTTTATAGTCATGCATCGAATAATATAAATACATACTGTATTCCAGTGTACAATTTCACCAGACAACTTAAGTAGAAAAATAAATTTAAATTCTTATTTAAGAATAACAAAAACAAAAATTCGTAACAAAAATAAATATCGATAAATGTTTAACAATTAACTAAAATAAAATACACCACACTTTTGTAGCATTATCTTTTTACATTAAATAAATTCAAAAAATGTTATACTCACTATTTTATCTTTGATAACTCCAACAAAGTAACAGTTTAACTGAAGTAACTCTCATTGCGTTTATGTACTTCCTAAAATATTTGTACAGAGAAAAATCTTCGATGTTCTAAAGAATTGTCTAAACTTAAATAAAATACAAAAATTACAAATAAAACAAAGATTTCTTAACACAAACAACAATTTCAAACAAAAGAGTTTAACTCAGTGTTGACAATGAGTTTAACGGGACAATGTGAAAACCTTTACAAAAATTTCCTATTCTTGTATCATTGGCCGATATTTTGATTAACTTCGATGTGATACTCATGAAGAATTCTCCCCTAGGACGAGAAATAAACTAAACTGTTGGAACTTATGAGAAACGCACTCAACAAACTATCCCATATAGATAAAGTGATTTAATAATCGTTTCTTAAACAGGTTGAATGAAGACTTTTAAATATGATCAATAGCGTTAGATATTTAAAAAATATAATAAATATTCAAAACTCAAAAAAATTATTTAAGCAATAATTGGTTTCTTAGATTCAATTAATGATTTTCATGAAGGTGGCACAACAGTTGACAATAAGAACAGTCTTTTGATTTGACCAACATCTGTAGTTGGCATACGTAATGTAGTACAGTAACTTAAACTCGCAAGCTGCTAACTAACTTAATACAACCATATTAAATACTATGGTTTATCAACTTAATGGAGTAACTTATTTTTGTTTTGATTTTATACCAATTTAATAAAAAAAATTTTTTACTTTGTTAAAGTTTACTTTTTTTATTAATAACTAATTAAAACCCACAAATAAATAAATGCAATCAATGTTAAGAGTAAGCGTACTGGAAAAAACAATTTCAGGATTGCAATTATTTTGTGTCCGTTTTAGAAATAAAGCTTAAAAATGCTAGTTGGAATGTAAGGGTACAAAAAATGTTTTTTACAAAATGCAATTTGTTATGACACTAGTACATTAAAATACAGCTTCTTAGTTAAAAATAAAAGAACAACATATCCAAGAATTTTTAAACATCATTCACACATACGTAAAAGTTACGCAGAAATATTTAGGAGGCACTAAATGTACAATGTGCGTACCTAAATAAGGTTTTTGAGCGTTAAAAATTCTCTCGCTTCACATTTGGCCAGGTGTACATAAGTTGTAAAAATGTAAGGAAATCAATTCTAACAATGCCTATAACATAATTTATAATGTTAAAATGGGTTAAGTCTTAAGAGATTTTCGGACGTAATGCACACCTGCACCTACGGTAACTAGAGTTTAACAAATACAGCAGAAGTGGAGTCTTTGGGAAGCAGGAAGTTAGACGTCCACGGAGTCTTCAACGTGGAAATGTTGAGCGATTGCGGCTGCAAGCATTTTCTGTTTCGCTTCTTCATCCTGCATTCTCCACATGACCTGCAAAGCAAAATATCAAGAGTGTCTTAAAGTAATCTGGTTACTGCGTTTTGACCGAGCATGGATTATACGAGGGTCGTTTTTAATTACATTTGTGCATACAATTTTCTTAGTTTGTGTGAATGTTGCAGTTCCTCGCATCCGTACTGACATAATTTGTGAACAGAACGGTGCCATACCTAGCAATTAGGCTGAAGTGTACGCTTTTCTGCATGAGTGAGGGTTGGTTGTGGAAATGAGTCAGTGTAGAAATGGCTGTGATAACATTTTTCCTTTTGGTCTTCGTGATAAGTCCGGGTACCAACTAAAAAACAATTCCTTCCAAAATGGAAATCTTTACGGCCATGTACGCTGTTAAATGGCTCCGTTCTGTTCACAAATGATGCCAGTAACCGTCAAGGAGGCTTGTTGCAGCGTACATGTAAAAGCTACGAGCACAACGGCCCTTACTTAAAAAACTACCCTAGTAGTTGCTAATAGAATTGAGGGTTACTGTTAATTTAAATACCTACCAATTTTATTAGCTTTGGAGATGAAAAAATCTATTTGCATTTTATAACTTTGAACCAAACTTCCCGTAATACTAAGCAATTTGAGGCAAGAGTGCTTAAACAGGTCCAGTTTTTAAACACTTTCATATTTAGAAATAATAATTGTTAAATGTTATTTCCAAAATTTAGTCACTTTTAAATTTTTTTCTTTTGTGGATTCATGATGACTCTTGTATAACATGGCAGTTGTACTGCAACTTCAAACAGACATTCTTTGTTTGAATAAAACATTCCATACATGTCATAACATAACATTTAGAATAGGCGCATTGTCAAAATTAAATCCATACATAAAACATTAAACAATTAAACCAAACGTGAAATTAAACACTTGAAATAAAAAAAAATTTAAATTAAAGTTGAGTAAAAATTGTCAATTAAGTAAAAAGCCTTGTCAATAAGGAAATTATCGATTGTCTCTTTAAATTTGGTTTTGTTCAATGACTTGTAGCATGGTGGAAGCACATGTACAATCTCAGAACAAAATTTGTAAATAAATGTCTATATTTTCATGACATAGAAAGATTTATAAAAAAAAACATACTAATATTAATTCCCCACCCATGGTTAACTTTGATGTTAACTTTGATACGAGAAACTGCTAATAGACTTTTCATCCCATTGTAAGATTTGAAGCTTCTTTTGACCATCATATCCGGTTATTTTTAAAAGCGCTGTCGTCTAAATTTAAATTTGTACAGTAGACTCTCGCTCATCTGGACAAATGTGGCGGACGTCCGGATTACGAAAAATCCGGACTATCGAGGGTCGGGAAATTCAGTACTGTAAAAGGCAGTTTTTTCAATTTTGTTCCAGGTCCACAGTATTGATAGCCGGGCAAATGCAGTTCAACCAGTAATATTTTTTACCGCTGTGTTATCCGAGTTTTTGATTATTCGAGGTAGTCTCGGTCCCATTTAACTCGGATAGTCAGACTTCTACTGTACTGTGCCGCTAAAAAAAACACGTTTGCCAATCCGGACTAGCAGGAGTCCGGACAAGGCCGATCCGGATGAGTGAGAGTCTACTTTACCTCTTATTTCAAGGTAAAATTTTAGAGACAACATTTTAGAACAAGTAATAGGATTCTAATAGTTTTAATGTTGGTATAATAATGAGAAATTAAAGCCTCGTTTATACGAAGCCAGTTGGTAGCTTGAAACCCCCAGACTCGGGTAGCTTGAAGTACACGAGGCAGGAAACCTGCCCCGCAACCTACATACCAACTTGCCTCACGTAAACACAGCTTGATAGCAAAAGACAAAACACTCACATAAACCGGATAAAAATTTACCGTTGTCTTCAGCTGAACCGATAGGATGGTAAATCTAAAGGCAAGTATGCTTAGTCTGTGTTAGTTACCTTGTCCAGAGCAGGCTTTGGATGGACAGGCCGTGGTGGTTTAGGATGACTACCTAAGGACATGCGTAAACCGTGCAAAATAAAGTGGTTAAATAAAGATCGGTGGTTTGTGGGAGCACAGTTTATGAAACAAATCTTAAATTAAACCAAGTTGTAATTGTGATATTTAAATGTTAACTAACGCCATTTGCCTGTACTTAAATAATCTTGAGGTTATATTTTCCAATGGCTAGGATTTTTTCGGGAAAGGAATATAATTCAGCTAGCTTACCTGAAAAAATTGGAATGCAGGGGCTATTAGATACAAAATAAAAGAACACAAAACAACAATGATATTTCATCCTGACATTTCTCTTGAACCCACTCTCTAAAGAAGTCCTACATCAGAATAACACATGGGAGCGAGCTGGTCTAGTGGTTAGAGCGCGGAACTCCGGTTCCTGGGGTCCCGGGTTCAAATCCCGCCAAATCACCAACAGATTTTATCTAAGTGATAATGCTGTAACCCCTAGGTCTAGCCTGAAGTAATGTGAAAATTAATTCCAGGCTTGTGCCTAGCGTCAGGACAAAAAAAAACCAGAAGTGCTCGATTTGTGGCGGAATGGCGTTCCGGTACGTCAGTATTATGTTTTGTATTCCTTTTTGGGCATCTATTAGCTCCTGGATTCTATTTATCTCAGGTAAGCTAGCTGAGCTCTATTCTTTTTTGAAAAATTCCTAAATGATCTTATAGTATTGGTTACGGTTAATAGAATTAAGTTTTTTAACCTGCTACCCACAAAGGGTCCGCGGAATTGGCTAACTCTGGAACTCGCTAACCCCATGTTAAATGCCCTATCTTCAAATTTGGTCGATGAGAGGAACTCGCTAACTTGTTCGGTTTCGGAATTGGCTAACTCCGGAACCCGCTAACCCGCTCTAAAGCCGGGTTAGCGAATTCCGTCCTCGTACGGAAGTCGCTAACTCGGTCCCTCGGCGGAACTCGCTAACCCCCAATCAGAAGCCTCGCGGGCCGTCCAATGGGAGCCAAGCACGAATATTTTTGGCCAGTGTTGCCGAAAGTGTACTACCTATATCGTATCGGTACCATAATGTCGTATCCTACGATTAATTAGGAGTAAGAACAACGTAGTCGATAAAATAAATATATTTGGAAGTATGTTTAACATTATTCTTATGGTTATTAGGGTGGAAAATGCATTATAGTCTTACCATAGACTAACCAACACAAGTAAACTTTACATCCCTTTGTAAACTTTGAAGCTCGTTTTTCGTGTCTAGTTCATGTCCGGTGACACTGATCGCTAGTGTCGACAAAATTGTGTTTCTATCATTTTATAGTTAACTTCATGATTTGTTCCTTACTGTTTGGTTATATAACTAGGGGACGTGTTATTAGTTGTGATTAGAACGTTTTATTTGGTTAAACGAGGTTTTAAATTACTGAAAACAAGAAACAATTGTAAACAAAACACGACCTCTAAAGACAGTGCACCGGACAGAACTAACAATACAACTGTCTTCAGATGATCCATAAGGATTAGAAATGTACTAATATAAGGGAGTATGTTTTATATGTGGGTTTCTTACTTAAATAGTAGCTTATTGGTATGAAAAAGATAAAAATGCACATTTAATTTGGATCTATTACATGTTATGAAATATCTATTTTCGTAGTCTGCCATTTGTTTCTTTTATTCGAATAAATACCATTTTGTGAACTTCTGCAAATAAAATTTTTGAGTTCGTATTAAGGAACGCGGCAGCGTTCCGCCCCGCCAAGTCCCCCAGCGGTACACAGCTGCTGCAGTGTATATATACATGACGTGACAAAGTGGCTTTTTTACTCGTCTATAGCTCTGAAGAAACAAAAGCTATTAAAATAATTGTTCATCCACTGGATAGGGGCAATCATTCTTGGCAAAATAAAAAAAAGAATTTAAAAAAAGGTTGTGTTTGAGCCAAGAAAAACTAGTTTGAAAATTCACAAATTTTCCGTGTTCTCCTTCTTCTCCTTAAATGTTGACGGACCTACAGCCCAAACCACTGGCTCAATTTTAATGTTTTTTATGTTGTTTGAAAGCCCTTAGCGTGTAGATGTGCCTTTTGAGGGTCACAAGTCGGTGCGTTGACCCATAAACCCTTGGCAAGCCCTCAAAGTACGATTTTGGCCCATTTAAATAACATGGGATTAAAATCAAAACAAAAGAAGGATCAGCTGCGATTAAATCTCAATTAATTTAAAATGTTAGAGAAATTCATAGGATCAGCTGAAAAATTATTTTAAAACTTTTATAAAGTATTTTTTTCAGGTATACCGAATGATTTGAGCTACTTACTATATAAAATTACTTAGAGCAGTGATATTCCCCGATACTTTCCATTGAAAAATGCAGTGTACCGATGGTACACTGGTACAGCAGCTCGTCATTTTTAACAGTTTAATACTACTTATCAAAACATATGAAACCTAGGAACTTGAAACTTAGTACTAGTACTAAGGTTAGTTTTAACATTGTTTCTTCATAATATTGCCAAAATTTATTTAACTAAATAAGGTTAGTTTTATGTTTTGATACACTAAAACAAATAAAACAATCGGGAAAATTCGTCTACGTATGTTAAACAAGCAAAAAAGTGAATGTAAAAAGTGATATGTAAATTTAGGATAAAAATGAGTTTTTCAATATTTGTTTTGCCTTATGCTATTTCTAACAAACCTAATCTGTTTGATTACATTTTTACTTCTCTAATAAGGGCTCAATTTACACTAGTCTTTAGATATACGGGTTTAATTATCGGAACACTTATGTAACACCAATGCATTTTATGTGTAGTTGTGCCCTGGTCTATATAAGAGAAAAGAGGATTTTTATTTTAACTGTTAATTTTCTACAAAAATAAATACAATCTAACAAAAAACCACTAAGTGGTAACACTTCCCCCGCCAAGTCAGCAACCCAAAAAAGACAATAAATCACCACTTTTCCGCCAAGTAAAACAATGTAATGTATGTAAGTTTGGCCACTTGGCGGCAGACTTTTGCTTGATCACTTTAAAAAATACCATAAAATTAGTTTCATTGAGCAAGTATCTCTCCCAATAGTACATTGCTAGATGAGAGCTTATTTTACAAAATTTGACCTTATTTGTGTCACATTTCATAAAATCATAATAGTGATGGTTTTATATTTACTGATTACCTCGAAATTATTATACTTAGTTGGACTAATTAATTAGAGAAGTTGATTTGTGAAATTATCCACCAACGTAACTTTAATGAAAAAAAAAACAAGCAAAAGTCTGCCGCCAAGTTGCCAAACTTACATACATTACATTGTTTTACTTGGCGGAAAAGTGGTGATTTATTGTCTTTTTTGGGTTGCTGACTTGGCGGGGGAAGTGTTACCACTTAGTGGTTTTTTGTTAGATTTTATATACTGGGCTTGTAGTAACCTTAAATCATAAATCATAATAAAATTTACACGTTAAACGTCATTACAGAATTACATTGTAGTGGTTACGCATTTTTAAATAGAGCTATTGAATTTAAATAAATATTTATCAATACATTATAAAGTGGTAGGCCTAATGTATTCATGGATTGCATTAAAAGTTGGTCTATGCATAAATACAACTTGTAAATTTCTTTTATCGTAGGCTATTAGTGTAGAACCCGGGTCATCCTCTTAATTTTGTTGAATTAATATTAATTTTACGTCTTTCAGTAGGCTTACTTTTTAAAAGTCTGGAGTTTTTTTTCCAGGCTGGTTCTATCTTATCCAAAAACAAAGCTATTGTCTATTGTGTAGCTCAGTACTGGGGAACAGTGAACCGAGCAATGGCTTGCTATAGTTTATATCGTTTGTGAAAGCAATATAAAGGAAACCCAACACTCAAATCAGGAAAATCCGTCAATTAGTTTATTAAAAATCGTGAATTAAAATAACCCTGTCACGTTTTATTATATGAATATTATATCTTCTCCTATTTTTTACTAGTGGTGCTTAGGTGTACAATCTAAAAACTGTTTTAAAACATGTAACATTATTGCTAAAAAATTCAACACATTTTAGAATTAGGCAACTATTTACTAGTAGGCCTACAATGCTTTGGTTCAAACTATTAGGCCTAGATAATAACTTAGTCTATGTCATCATATGTGTACACGTAAGTTGGACGGTTCAAAGACGAACATTAAATTTAAAATCTATTAATTAATTATGAAAGTTACGATGGTTGATGACTGTATTAATTAATGGTTTTGGTTTATTACGACATTACAATTAAATCTGTTTTCCGTGTTTAAGAACTTGCGTGTATTTTAGCTTAATTTCGTAGAGGTTTAATTATTTATTACCAATTAAACTAAATTTTGAATATTTTTCATATTCTATTATTTTCTTTTATACTGATGGCATTTATATTTAAGATCGAAATCATAAACATTTAACTGGCCATTGTACTGTTTAATAAAAAACATTTTTTCATGATTTTTTAATTGTCTTTTAATTACTTTGGGCTAGTTATCTGTTAAAAGTGGAATTGATAACAAAAAACAATAACATTTACTGTATCTTTATAGACACTGACATTTTGAAATACGGCAGTGTACGATTATTTTGTCGTACAAGGTTGGCACCGCTCCGAGCAGTGGGCGCGGCCGGGTTAGCGACTTCCAGAGTTAGCGAATTCCGCCGCGAGACAAAATCGAGTTAGCGGGTTCCGGAGTTAGCCAATTCCTGACTGAGACGGTTAGCCAGTTCCAGAGTTAGCCAGTTCCGCCACACGACCGAGTTAGCGAGTTCCTGAGTTAGCCAATTCCTACGTCTCCCCACAAACCAACAGAAATAATATTAAACAAGGCAAATAAAAAGTAAATGTTAAGCAAATAAAGGAAGCATTGGAATCCAACAAACTAAAAGTAGTGTTAAATTTAAATACAAAAACCTACAGTAGGGTAAATATTTTGGAAATATATGACAGGCATGGTTTTTTCATGGATAAAATAAACATTTGTACACATTAAAATAAATAAAGTATTCTTAGTGTGCAAAAAAATATGAATATTCTAACCTAGGTTGTGTTGTATTAATTGTAATTTATTTCACTATCTAAAAAGATTGATTTTTCATCTATGAAACACGTTAGAATAAATGCCACAGATTAAAAGATAGGCTTCCACGGTAGAAGAGGACTGTTGAATCTTACTCTTCAATAATTGCGTCTTTGCATTGGTGAACTGGCTGTTTCATATATGTCGAAGCATTCCATGTTCTGAGCAAGCTACGCTAATTTAAAACATTTGATTATAGTTTTGCCCCTAAGATGCATTTGCCACAATGCAACCAAAACATTCAGTATTTTCACCTATTCAAAGACGCAGTCATCTTTCAAAACCGAGATTTGACAGTCCAAATGTTAAAAGTATTGAGTTTAACCATTAATGCACATACCACCTCACGTAACATTTATACCAGATCTACATTAATTATTAAACAAAACTCTCTTTTGACAGAACTGCAAATGTCGGTAAATCAAGAGTTAAGTTAAAAGGACAAAATCAACCAAACGATGGTGATTTCAAACATTTTTTTCTTACTTTGCTCAGGCTTCTTATCAGCCACGGAAGATTGTTTGTTGAGACTAGCAGCCAACTCCCGGACTGAGCGTTTATCACTACTTGCTGAAACATAACAACACTTTTGTAAGCATCAATAACACTTCAGGTATGTGCTACACAATCAGTAGTCAGGTATTACCTGTAGGCCTAATATAAAAAAAATCAATTTAAAATAATTTACCAGTGCTAGAAATTGAGGGATCAGAAGTAGTAGACGGTGGTTGGGATATGTGAAAAGAATACAAGGAGAATGAAAACTCAGGAAATGGAATTGATGGTGATGGATGGAAGGAAACTAAAAGAAGAAACTGCAATGGTAAGATAAAAAGGAATGTACAGATGAGAGGAGTGAAATGGAAGATGATGGAGGAAGAGGGGCTGGGAAGGAATAATAAAAGAAGAGAGTCCTAGTTGTTCAAGCTCTTTGTTGACTCATAGATAAAAAACATCATTTGTGTAAAAGATGGTTTCACAACAGCAGATGATAGATTATTTGCATAGATTAAGAAAAGAAGAGAGGCTATGACAGATCCTTGTGGCACTCCCAATTCAACTATCACTTCATCTGACCATTTTCCTTTTATACAAACTGCTTGTTGATTATATTGCATGTAGCTTTCAAAGAAAAATTGGAAAACCATAAAACTGTAATTTTGAGGTGAATATGGCTTTTAACAGAATCCAACAGCTTTAGAGGCAAATGACACGAGAAGGTTTAACGGTTAAAGAAGCTATTTAAAACTAATCTGATCACATAAGCTGTCTTTTGCTAAGCCTTCCCCCTGGGATCATGGATGCGATAAAGGAAGTAAACCTAATAATGGAAGAGAACTAGCTCAATGAGTATACACCGATGATCGCAGTACTCTGGATTTCGCTATTAGCTTATTTTACTACCAATAGAAAATTGAAAGAAAAAGCATTCACAAGGGCAAGTTCTCCTATGCACAACAACAACCGTATTGGCTTGTTATGGACCTGACGGAACCAGTTACATATTATGTATTATAAGTAACTAACCGGAGCCAATGCTGGCAGTGTCACCGTCGTCCAGAGCGTCCCCAGAGTCTGGTGTGTTAGCTGCAGAAGTGTTGGGACTAGATCCATCACTCAGTAGAGTACACATATCTCCTACAACACACAAGATTACTGTACAGTAATACACTGACCACCATTTTGCAATATTCAATTTGAAGACTACTCCATTTTGTACACTCTAATAGTTACAAAATAATGTAAACAATTTACTTAACAACCACAATTGTGCTACAGAGAAACAATTGTACTTTTCGATACTGGAACGGAGATAGACTTTACTTTCATCTCCACAATTTGTTATGTAGTGGTTAGCAATTATGAAATTCACACTTATGTGACACACTTGGGCTCGACAACAGCTTTACTATGTATGTGTTTTCACAGATTTTACACAATGTACTTAACTTGTATAATAATATTACATGGTATATAAACTGTTATAGTAGGTAGAATATTACCTGATTTCCTGTCCGAGCCAGCCACGGACCACGGGCGAGGTTTGGGTGCTAAAGGAGGCAGAGGCGACCTTCCTTTCCCTCCTAAACATATTACGATCATAGCTTACAAGAAACCAAACCAAAAATTTCAATACGAGAAGGTAAAGAGTAAATGTTAGTCATTTTTTCACAGCTTAGTCGAGAAACAAGCTTCCAACATGCTAATTGATTGTAGACTACTAAAATGTACTAGAGATTTTAATCAGCCATTGTTTTAATGACCAATCAAAACAATTGGGTACACTGTATTTAAGTTTTTTTTCTGTTACTGTCTACGGCAGTGGCATTTTCAATAAAGGAACCACAAAAACTTTTAAGGAAAAGAGTCATAACAACACCCACAAAGTTTTTGGTAAATATGTTGGGGATCTAACCCGATCCTCTTTGACCAAAGTCCGAGACACTTACCAACTAACAACTCTACCAATTTATATTTGCAAACCAAACGGTTTCACGAGGTAAAACGCAAAGATAACTCACCACCGTCGTTGACTTGCCGCAGAACTGGAGACTTGGGGATGGCAAACCCGTTGCTAGGTGATCTAAGAGATTCTGCGAGAGATTTCACCTTTCCTGCGCTGACACAGTCGCAATCACTGTCCTGCGTAAACAGTTTGAGGAATGTGTTAAGTCAAAGTCATCTTTATTGTCACAAAACGTTATTTTCCAATGGTCTGGCACAGCCAGAAAAAACAGGTGACATTGTCAAACTATACTAAAATAAACCAGCCTATAAGCAACATAGATTACATTCGCTTCAAAACATGCTCAAAACAAACATATCTACGACAATAATATAAATCTGTGTTATTTTAAAGTACCACTTGTGTTTGTGGGGTAGTGTATTGGCTAGTACAACTTGTTCATTTTGGGATTACGACACTGTCACCTACTAAGTAGGGACTACAAATCGCAGTATTTTACAACTCCACCAAAAATTTGAAATTAGAAAGCTCGAAATTGTGATTTTAAATAGCAAAATTTTACCATCACTAAAAAGCATAATGGCTAAAAACATCTAGGTTGGTTGAGTATCAAGAAATCTACTTATTTATTACTTCCAAAAAATTTACCTTCCCCTTACGTGACCTTGACGCATCACTGTCATCTCCACTCCCATCTTCTTTACTACCTGCAAACAGATAAGGTTGTATTTAGATACAAAAGTAATGAGAAACAAGAATTAAACAAGTACGGTACTTTAGTTTACTCCAGCAGTCTTGTAGACATTATCACCTTCTTACCTTATCCTGGCAGAACCCAGTATACTTGAATACATTAAAATCGTGTTGCACAATAATGGCAAAATCTTGCATCTCACAAGGGAAATCATCATCGACCCCAAAATCGCAGTGATGGCAAAATCTTGCATCTCCCAAATAAACCATCATCAACCCCAAAATCACAGTGATAGCATAATCCTCAGATCTTTGCAGGCCTGTTCTGCGGTCTCCACCCTATCACGATAGTATAAGTTCAGCTTAAGCTCAATTTTCCGACTTGGTGCTAGATCGAGCTTTTAAGCTAGGATGCACTCGGCTCAAAATCTTAAACTCTAATCATGGCTTGCTTTCATCAACTGGTAATAATGAATGAGATAAACTTACTGTCTACAGAGTGGAAGCGGTGTGCGAGCGGTGAGTGTGAATGTGAGTGTCTGGTCAAGGCCGGAGACAGGTTGTCACTGGAAACGGACCTGGGAGTGTCCTTGTGACTGTGGTCAACAACATCTGTCTCTCCCAGCATTACACTGGAGCTGACACTGGCCACAACAAACAGAGTGGTCATAAAATGAATAATAAGATGACAATTTAAGATAAGCAGTTTGAGCAAACTACTGACATTTGTTGTATTTGGGAGTAACAATAATATTGTATACGGTGTGTAAATTCACAAAAATTGCAATAACTTTTGATCAGTAATTTTTACAACTTTCGGGGTTGCACCATTTTGTCTAGAGTTAATAGGACCATAATCTACTAAATTATAATTAAAATTGTTCAAGCCGTTTTTGTGAAAATTTAATTTTTTTATTATTATATGGGGTTTTAAAAAAAATCACCATTAAGTAGAAAAAAATAAAAATACCTGGAGATACTATGGTTTAGTAACCACATACCAAAATTCATCAGAATCAAGCCACAGGTGTAGTCTACACCACAAATTCATCACTTCAAAAACCAACGAATATTAACACCCAAAACTCAAGCTCAAAAGTTTGGACAAAAACAATACTTAATGCATATACTATGTGTCGTTTAAGGGGCGAAAGTAAAACATTGGTTCTAAGTGCAGGTTAGCAATCAACAGGTTGTAAGTAGCTTTAGTTCTCACAGGGTTATTAAAGTTCTATTTAATTTTTTTTTTCAATTTGATGGTGGACAAAATTGATTTCCGTTTGCTGGTGGACCAAAACATAAGAGGGGCCTCAATAGATCTTTACGTTTGAAGTGGCATTCAATATCTTCAAGGAAAACAGCCTTTGAAAATAGTAAACTTTAAATATCCAAGAAGTTACCTGTCATCCGAGGTTGGGGAGATGAGAGGTGTGGTGGGGGTGAGGCTGAAGAACGTGTCGACGATTGAGTCCTCTAGGAGGGGTGTGGGGGGACGTAGTGTGGGGCGAGAAGGGGCGCGTGTCTTGGCACGTCGAGGTCGGTCCTTGACCAGGTGGTGGAGGGGAGCTACAGGGGTTCCTAGCTCACACACACTGTCCAGTGATTCTGAAACAATACAACAGCTGCAGATAACTCCACAACTGGAAAACGCAAAAGTACAAAAAAAAAGGTTATGACCAGCTACACCGTCTTCACTCAAGCTCAAAAATTAATTTCACAGTTGACATACAGTTTTCCAATTTATATTTGCATATTTCCTGGGACTTGCCTGCAAAGTATAACAAACTATTCAATGTACTTTTACCTTTCATAGATTAATGATTACTTTGTCACTAAATAAATTTAACAATCCAGAAAAACATCATCATATGAAATAAATAATAAGAGTTTTTGTTTAAGACAATTGTAAGATTAATAAAACTACTAATTTACAATATTTAAAATATGCGAACTGTATAAATATACCATAAAGTAATTCACATACCTTAATCAGTCTAACCAACTACAAAATTGACATATTTAAAATTAATTTTCATAAACTGTTTTGTTTATAATTTAACTATGGTTAGAAATTCAATGCTGTCACTTAACAATTCATGTTTTAAATATTTTTAAAGTGAGTTGATCAGCAGCACCATGACCTGTAAAAGCGCCATCTAGAAATAAATCAAAGACTAGGAAGGCGAAGCCGTATAGGAAATCACCTTTTTAATTAACATTTGTGCCTTCGCTAGACAAGCTTTACAATCATCCAAATGATAAAAATTGGTTAAAGGTACAAGTGAAAAAGGGATTTTAGAGAAAACCTCTTATCGTATGCAGTATATCTAGGTAGATAAAAAGCACTCAACATAACTTGTTATTTCTAAACAGTACCTTCCGCACTCGTGGGCAGTGAGGGCAGCAGATCCGGTATATCATCGGCAGACATACCATCCATATTGTCAACAACAGACTTGGGCCGCAGTTTACGTCCGTATACGCTCTTACGTTTGGTGGACATGTGGGGAGTAGCCTGTAGACAAACATAATGTTACACCTGTGTACACAAAACGTACAACTGCTCCGCACATACCTACATAACTGTGTACACAACAGGTACAACTGCTTGGCACATACGATGTGTACACAAAACGTTCAACTGTTCAGCTCACATCACAATCACTATGGTTACAAGACATTGACAAGCTAATCATCGTCAACCGAGCTTAAGGTTTAATTGGCTAAAGAAGAGTGTACCAAACTTTTTGTTTTAAGACTCACCTTCATCTTAGATTTCCTGTTACGGGTATTTTTTTATTATTTTTTTACAGAAAGCACTTAAAAAGTGTTTAGTGTTCTCTCTCTTCAATCTGCAGTTAGGGGGATGATATGTACACATCATAATATACAAACCGACCAAACAAAGCAAGTTTGAGGTTATGTTTTCAAATATTTTAAGGAAATACCACGATACTAATTAATTAAGGAATTTGTTCAAAAACTACTATAAAACAGTGGATTTTTACAAACAAGAGAAAATAACGACAAAATATTCATGGTACCATGCAAATATTTAAAATGCACAACTAAAACGTGCCAAATACATACTTTATAAAACACATTCAAACTCAAAGTCAGTGTTTGACTTAAAATAATGAGACTATGGTAACAAAAACCATCACTTTAGATTGTAAAAAACAAAATCTCCAGAGGTCTTTTAAGTTTAGTGAAATATGCTCAAATAAAACAAACATTATCTATAAATAACAATTTTTGAAAGGAAAGAACGACTGCAACAAAAAACAACAAACTTCAAACGTAAAACAGATCAAAACAGAGACATGCCTTTAATAAGTTATTGAGTCACCAAATGAGTGGTGCCAGCTGATACAATAAACATTGGTTCATAACAATACTCCATGTCAAATCTATACTACTTGCCTACTTAGAAGAGTAAAAAAAAACAACAACTACCTACTAAAAACAACATTTACTAAAAATGCAAAATATTAAAAATAAAACTAAGAACCACACTATGTCTCCAGTTGTCATTTTAGTATGGAAAAAGGGCAAACAAACAATAGGATAAAAATACTGAAAATCAAACCTCGTAGATTGAAAAAGTGAAAACGCACACATTACTGAAATCATGCGACTCACCAAATTAAGGTATTCCAGCTTCTGGCAGAAGAGACAAATTTATATTAGATATTGATGACTTATAATGAAATTTCCAATTGTTTAAAATGAACTAGGCTAACCATAACACCGATTGCAATAATATTAAACACCCAGTGAAGAAACAAAAAATAAAAAAAAATAAAAAATTATTGGTTGAAAGATAGAGAAAATTTTTATAACAAAATTTGTAGCAGAACAACCTAAAAAAATGGTTGTTACTTACATGTTAAAAGGCCTATCACAAGTGTTGTAAATGTGTTAGAAGATTTTAATTGCTTTAGATGATAAAAATAGATTATCTGTAAGAGGCCTGGAGATAGTAGGAAATGCATCAACAACCACTGAAAGACTGAAACCTTGTAGCCCTTCTTGCTTGATGTCGAGGATTGAAAAAAAAAAATAGAAAAAAACAATTATGAGAAAACTGTTGTTTGGGAAATACTTTTAGCCAATACAAAAAACCTTGTTGATAAATATAATAAATAGGGATGGTCAAGTCTCGAAATTTCGGGAAATTTTTGGGAAATTTTAAATCTCGTTACACGAGACGAGATTTCTTTTTAGCCGAGATTTTTATCGAGACGAGAATAAAAAAAAAAAAATTTAAAAAAAAATTAAAAACGCCTGCAGAAAGTCAATGCAGTACCCGCAATACAGGAGCGTGTTGTAGTTGCGTTTCCTTTGCGAAGGCGTTCTTATTTAATTAATTCTTTAATTATTTTAATAATATTACTTTAATAACATTTGAGAAGTTTTGTTAAGTGTAAGCAGTGTGAGGAATGTTTTATTACTGTACTATAAAAAGTCAAAACAAGAACCTATTTTATAAAAATTAATATTGCTTTTATTTTATGATTTATTTTATTTTAGGATAAGTTGAACTCTATCCTAACTGATATCACTATGTTTTTTAATCGTAGGCATTTTTAATAAGTTAGGCGTGATTAATAAAAAAATGTTATGCTGATGTTTTTTAATAAAAGATTGTAAATATTCTTGCCTATTATCATTATTTTTGTATTTAAACAGTCATCTAACAATGTTACAAAATCAGGTAAAAATTTTGAACGTGCATTTCCCGTTGTGTATGAGAAGAGAAATCTCGTCTCGAAATTTTATGAGAAATAAATCTCGTCTCATCTCGTCTCGAACTAAAAATCCAATCTTGTCCATCCCTAATAATAAAACAAAATCTTATAATGCTCTCTGATTTCGCCCGCAGCATCGCTCAGATTAACCACCTATCCCAGGTGAAATAAGAGGACAGTCAAAGCCAGAACTTAAGCTAACAATACTGACCAAAGGCGAGGGATCGGACTGTTGACTGGCGTCGGACATGCTGATACTCTCACATGGGTCGTTGCGGGATGAGTCGGAAATGCGTAACACATCTGGAGTCGACGACCTCTTCTTGGTCACATCTCCCAGCTTTAACAATACATACAAGACATGTCATACAAACAAAAATGTCTGATTAAAATAATAAAACATCAATATTTAGTTAATTTTATCAACATATAAACACAGATCTGTCTTATTTAAATTTTTAGTCGTGTGTTGAATCATTTGAAATGTAAATAAAGTTTAGTTTGTTGTTTTACTTTGTGAAGAACGCAAGCTCATTTTATTGTGAGTAAATCCTAGTTTTGTAATTTAATTTAATTACTGACATCGTCCGTGACATTACCAAGGATAATCGCGTATATATTGACGACCAATCCTTCATGTTACATAAAACTAAATAACCCAAAAATATATACAATGCTTATGCCATTAGCTTCTGTTGCTATTTGAGTGACTTACCAGTGATTTGTGGCACTTGGACAGCGATTCAATCACTTCATCGGTGATTTTGTCTGACACGTGGGCAGCAACCGCAAGATTTAACTCACTGGGAAATGTTTAGATTTTCATTAAAAGTGGAAAAGTGATTAAAGCTACATTTGTATTGGAGTTAATGAACAACAATGCAAAATATTACATATCTATTAAATAAGCCTGTAAATTGTTTGGTAGACATGCATAACAATAAATTATTTTACAATGTGTCACTCACAACCACTAAAGTAGCCTATATAAAAATATGTGCTACAGTATAAAATCCTATTTCCTCCCTAGTTTTTCTTACTGTGATAAAAAAAGATGCCACAGAACACTTCCTTCCAATATGAAGGAAATTGACAGGAAAGCAGGCTTACCTTTAAATAAGTCCATAGAGACACATAACACATCACAAAATTAAAAGTAGCTTAATAATAATCTATCTCTATCTATCTCTACTTTTAATTTTGTGATGTGTTATGTGTCTCTATGGACTTATTTAAAGGTAAGCCTGCTTTCCTGTCAATTTCCTTAATAATTCCTGGCAAATGCCCTATCTTTTTATAAGATATCCTTCCAATATGACTTGGTTAACATTTAACTAGTTCTCATATTTAAACAGAAACAAGTGATTTACATCAACCCATTTTGTCAGTTTCTAAAACTAAGTTCATTATTTTGTGGCAACATAAACATGGAAAAGGATGTCTACTTATCAATAATCAAAGATATTAACTCAACAGCAAACGGAAACCACTAAATATAACGCTAATTTAGGTTTTGTTCAGCCTTACTTGATCTTGTTCATGAGGTGTGTGCCGGCTAGCTCTGTGACGGCGTTGTGTGTAAAGGTAGGGTCCAGGAAGTTCTTGTCTCTACAGGTGTTGCGTATCTCTGACTGTACTCTCTCACTGCTCAGTACTGTAGGGCATTGCTGCTCTGCACATTTCATCATGCACTCTAGACCATCCTGCAAACAAACAACATGGACTACAGGTGTTGTGTGTAAAGGTAGGGTCCAGGAAGTTCTTGTCTCTACAGGTGTTGCGTATCTCTGACTGTACTCTCTCACTGCTCAGCACTGTAGGACATTGCTGCTCTGCACACTTCATCATGCACTCTAGACCATCCTGCAAACAAACAACATGGACTACAGGCGTTGTGTGTAAAGGTAGGGTCCAGGAAGTTCTTGTCTCTACAGGTGTTGCGTATCTCCGACTGTACTCTCTCACTGCTCAGTACTGTAGGGCATTGCTGCTCTGCACATTTCATCATGCACTCTAGACCATCCTACAAACAAACAACATAGACTACAGGTGTTGTGTGTAAAGGTAGGGTCCAGGAAGTTCTTGTCTCTACAGGTGTTGCATATCTCTGACTGTACTCTCACTGCTCAGTACTGTAGGACACTGCTGCTCTGCACATTTCATCATGCACTCTAGACCATCCTGCAAACAAACAACATGGGTCAAGATGGTGTATCTAACACTCGTCCTCACACAATAGTTCAGCTGAGGACGCTATCCCAAGGCTGTCAGTGATGCTGTGCCCAAGGAGAGGGAATCCGTCCTGCCTGAGGTGGCCCTGCTTTTAATGAACACGGATCTAGACTGTGAGGTCAATAAACATTCCTAATGGTAAATCCATATGCCACCACTAGTGGCGTGGGGCCGAAGACAAGAGTCTGTTGGGACCATCTGGCGGAGATGCACTGGAAATATTTTGTATTAAGCCATTAACATTTCACATCAACACATTACATTACTATCCCTGCAGCAGCAAACCTAAGTTTTTGTTAAGCCTAGTGTTGATAAGGAAAAATCTTACATGTTTAAGAAGGAAAAGTATTTGTGAACATCTAATCAGGCAAATACAAATTCACTTTAGTCTGCATGTTTGCCGCAAAAGGATATTTAAAACTAAAAGAGTTTATTTTTCGGACTATTTGTGGAAACTGTGAACACAGCCAGATTGATTGGTTACCTGCAGGTAGTTGATGATGACTGAGTGTAGTTCATCAGAGATCTGCTTCAGTTTGATGTCTATAGGATTGCCAGCCTCCTCCCACCTCTGAACCACCTCGTGTAGTCTCGGAAGCAGCTACAAGACCATAAGACATAAGGCCATTATTTTCCACTATAAGTGGCATTTTTCATTGAAGAATTAAAACATATTTTAAGGAAAACAATCAAACCCCTTAAATTGCTTTTGGAGACCCATTCTGTTAATTCCCAACCACAACTTTTTTATTGCAGTTCTGTAAATTCACTGCCAGAACTTAATTTTTGAATTAGTTATAAATGGTTGGACCAAAATACATATCCAGAACCATAAAATTAAGTGGAAAATATTTTGATAAGAGTAAAATAAAATAACAACACCAATGATTTTCTTTGTCACTGAGTTTCAAAGCAATTTTATGTATATTTTTACATAATCTTGAAGTATGCTACATGCCATTATAAGGCCTACAAGACTTTGCGCCTTATACATGTTACTTGGTACTTGGACTTCATACCTGGTATCAAGCAAAACTATGGCAAATTGAAATAACTTACAATTACAGATTATCATAGACTATTGGATACTGAAGTAGACGTCCCATATTAACCAGCTGTAGCAAATGTTTTACTCAAAACGAACATAGTTAAATAAGCCACGAATGTGCTACTCTTTAAAATTACATGTTCTGTTCACTCTTAGTTTTGGTTACTGTGCAAGTTGATGTGAAAATCAGATGCCATAGTTTACTGCAAGTTGTCCTTTTAGTTTAGCTTGTTTAAAAAGTTGTCGTATTCAACAGAAATCAGTTAGCTCTCAGGCCAAAGCTTCATCAGCCAAGCTCTAGTGGTAGAGCACGGGTCTATGGTCCCTGAGGTCCAGGGTTCGAATCCTGCCAATCACTGTCAAAGGCTCAATTAACTACATAAATTTTTATGATGAATAAAACATCTAGGCACCTGTTTGCAGTTGTCCGCGTCCTGTATGAGGTTGGTAGCCAAGTTGATGTCGTTGTTCTTGTCTGTTGACTGTTGGGCCACAGTCCTGATAGTGTCTTGTGTTTGTAGCACCAGTCTGTCTACCATCTGTTGTGTCGAGCTCAACAAGAACCCCTGCAAACAAACTAACTAGCTCACATACAATGCTTTTAGTAAAATATAAAATATCGCTTAGGATTAGAGGGTCGTGGGGTTTTGGCATTACAGTCAAACCTATTTAGCACGAATTTCAAAGGGGCAGTGGAAAGATTTGTAAACTCAAGGTATTATTCGTCTTTTATAGAGGTTTCTCCTCGCTCTGAGACAGTGACTGAGGAAGGAATAGGGGTGGGTGGGGGTTTCATTTTGAGACAATCTTCTGTTTGTTTTGAAAACTACTATGGAGGTTAAGATCTTGAGAAATTCGTCTTATAAAGGTTAATCAGTCCTAGCCCATGTCACAAAAAATTCGTCTCATGAGGTTTTTAACCTAATTACTACATTGTACAGAGGTGTTTTTAGCATTGACCTTTATGAAAGTTTCAAGGGAATTTGTAAAAATTTGCATAACTAGGAATTTATTTTATCGAGGTTCGACTGTATCACTCAGATAAATTCAATTGTTAAAGGTGGGGTGGGACATAAAAAAAACTATCTGGAATTGTTACTAATTGCTATGTAACTGCAACTTTTTGTTGGATAGCATCATTAAGTCACAGCCAATTATTAATGGAATTTAGGTCCATAATCAATCATTGCAGGGTATAACAAGTAACAAATGAGCAGTAACTCAGTTACATAGACATGAGTTCAAATCCTACCAATGTCGAACGGCTTTTAGCATAATACATCAACATAAGAGGGGATCAATACAATAAAACCATATAATACCAACATCTAGTATGAAAGGAATAAAAGATAAAATTACCTGTTGAAGTCTGAAGGCTTGTCCGTTACTGTACTTCTTCGGAGACACATTTCTGTGCAGCACGTCTTGTATCCTTTTCATCACACCATCTGTCTTTTCCGCATTGACTTTCATACAAGGCAGTAGGTCGTACAGCGGCATTGGCATATACCTCACAGTGTAGTTGCTGTGAAGTAATCAGACAAGTACAGGAGTCAAATAAAATCATGTTAGACCTATACTTACACTAAACATGTCAGACCAGAATGTTGATATTAAATAATGGAACAGCGGTACAGGATTCAAATTGAAATAATTGTAGACCAGTAAAGGAATCAAATCAAACTATGTTTGACTGAACCAGTCCATGAATAAAATCTTACTATGAAAAATACATAAATCATATAGTCATGTTGGACAATGAATGTGAATAAAATAAAACCACGCACCATGATATAGCCTCTGTTTTATTACAAATGAAAAGGTTTTAACCTTTTTTACTGTCAATGATTTGTTTTTCGTTTAGCGACCAAGTTTCGAACGTAAACGTTCATTTTCAAGCTGACCGAAAAATCCTCTTCATCCTTGGGGGTTGTGAAGAATCGCCATATAAACTGTTAGCATATTTTAAGTTACAGAACGTGTCCGCTGTTTTGATATTCGTGTAAGTGTTAAGTGTTTATAACTACTCTTCACAACACCAGGAGTGAATAGGAATTTTCCAAGTACTAGGTCAGCTTGAGAATGAACCTTTAGGTTCAAAACCTTGGTCGCTAGACAAAAAAAGGATCAATGTTACAACAGGTAGGCCCTATTAAACCTTTTTATTTGCAAAACCATGTTTGACTAATATTCTAACAGAATCAAATCAAAAAGGGATTTTTAATTCTCAAATTTTGGGAAATTTCCGGCAAATTTTAAGATTTTTTTTATTGAGAATTTTTTGAGACGAGAATAAAAAAATAATATAATTAAAAACGCCTGCAGAAAATCAATGCAATACCCGCAGTACAGGAGCGCGTTGTAGTTGCGTATTCTTTGTGAAGGCGTTCTAATTTAATTAATTCTTTACATGTAAATATTACTGTAATTATTTTATAATTTGAAAAGTTTTGTTAAGTGTAAGCAGTGTGAGGCATGTTTTACTACTATAAACAAAGCCAAAACAAGTAACTATTTTGTACAAATTAATATTGCTTTTATTTTATGATTTATTTTATTTTAGGATAAGTTTAACTCATTTTTAAACATTTTTGATAAGCTAGGCGTAATTAATTTTCTATGCTGACGTTTTTTAATAAAAGATTTTAAATATTCTTGCCTATTATTATTATTTTTGTATTTAAACAGTCATCTAACAATGTTACAAAATCAGGTAAAAATTTTGAAGGTGGATTTCCCGTTGTGTATGAGAAGGGAAATCCCGTCTCGATCTCGTCTCAAAATTTTATGAGAAATAAAAAATCTCGTCTCTAACTAAAAATTCAATCTCGTCCACCCCTAAAATCAAATCAATCTGAGACAACAACAATCCTGTTCCAATTCCTTTTCCAATGCGGACAATTTAAGAATTTACACCACAATTGGTAGAACACACCATGAAATGCTTTGTTTTTCCACTAATCATAATGGAAAATAACTGCACCAATCCCTAATAAACTGACCATCACCAAGACTTGTCTGAAGGCTGCCTACCTCTCCAAGGCGTAGGCCAGGTCACTGTAGCCCTGCAGGGTAATGTTGTTTCTATCATACATGATACTGCGGATCTTGGAGTTGATCTGCAAAGCCTTCGCTAACAGTCTGGCTCCTGCGTCTCCCATCAGATTACCACTAAAAAACAATCTTTGTAGTAGCCTAGCAAGTGTTTAATCATAGAGCGGCATTGGTATGTATCTAACAGTGATCATGAAAGAACATATAAATCATAGGAATTTCTAACTTTTTCATGGTGAGGTAGCCTCTGGATCACTAAATTTAAGCTAAATGGTTTAAGTTACCTGGCTTCGTCAAGTGATCCTTCTTCAGTATTACACTACTATAGTTTCGGAGCTGAAAATAAGTCCATCTTCAGGTTAACAAATGACTCATCTTCCGGCGTCGCCACACGTGTCCCCCGTGATTAATTACACTGGCCAGTTTTTACAGTATTATATTCGTTTTTTGTGTTTTTTGTGTTCATGTATGTGTTTTAAGTGTATCGACGAATCTAACCAAATTGGTTAGATGACCTATTGACGTTTTTGTTAACCTGAAGATGGACTTATTTTCAAGTCCGAAACTATAGTAGTGTAATACTGAAGAAGGATCACTTGACGAAGCCAGGTAACTTAAACCATTTAGTTCTAACTTTTTACTTAGAAATATTATGTTCATAATCTAGAATCCAAGTACCATTTAAAAAAAATTCATATAGAAAGATTTAACCTAAAAAATAAACGTTAAAAAATAACTGACTTGACTCGCTTAACACCAATACCCGGTGAGTGGTTCTTCATGTCGCAAACGCAATTTGATTCAAATCTTTAAAACTGTGACGCACACTTGGTACCCATTTTAAGCTAAATGATAGAATGAGATGATCTGTGTACTAATAGGGTACTCTGATTTCTGCAACAAAATGGTCACAGCATGGTAAAGGATAAAGCAGTTTAAATGTCACTGATTGGGTATGTACTTCAGTGACCAGAAACACTCACCTGAAGTCTATAGTCTGCAAACACTGGTTGCTACCCAAGGCGTTGATAAGGTTATACAGGTCAGACTTGAGCCTGGAGTCTGGAATGGCCAAGGTCTGGAGTACACAGTCTTCTTCCTGTCAGACAAATCATAATTGCAACGGTAGTTGTCAGACATAGCATTATTATTAAATGCTTTTTGTATGAAAGTAACATTTCCAAATTAATTCCCAAAAGGTTCTAGAAATGCTTGATTATATATTCTATGCTTGAATCTTCTCAGGAGATAGAATCCAGGTGTAAATGTTCACTTTTGATGTCAATTAGCAATCTAGAGTGATTATACCTGTATCATCGTGACCAGAGCGTCCATGATGGCGGAGATGTGCTTGGCCTTCATGTTGGTCATGTTACGCCCCATGTGAAGGTGTTTTATTGACTTGTTCTTGCTGACTGCGACCACTACAGCGGCCAAGTCTACGTCCATATCTGTAACATAACATGTCAGCCTACAATCTGATACGTTTGGGAAAAGTATATGATTTAGTTGTATTACGTTGCGATTTAAAATTACATTTGTTATCGAGCTCTGGTTTTGACATAAGTTGGTGATGTGCATTATTAAATATACAATTTGTTTACCAAAATGGAATTTTAAAATACCTAGGGGATTATCAACTGGAACTTTTGGTCCATTAGGTTTATAACCTTCCATAGTATCAACCATAAGTATTACGTTTGAAACAATACATTTGTCTCTATTGGACTCGCTACGATAGGGAACAGCTGTAAAAGATGGAGTAACTAATGGACAAAGTGCTGAATACAGTCCTAGTTCAAACTAGTCCACTGAATCTTTGTCAGATAACACCACCTACTGGGTTGCGTCATGACGAAGAAGGCTCATCCAATCGCCATGAAGGATTATACAACATGTATTTCAACTAGAGACAATCTTAACATGGCAATGTAATATCTAGTTCTGTTCACGTTTCAAGTTCTGTAATATACACGTACTGTTCTCAGTGATATCAAGGGAGCCGATGGACCTGACCCCGTGTATGCAGGACTCCAACACATGAGCTCCCTGAGCTCCGAGGTTGTTGCAGCTCATGTCCAACGCAATGTCCGTGGTCGACTCATTACACGCCAGACCCAGCAGCAAGTTCCTGCAAACAAACACATCTGTTAAGCGCCTGTCACTCAAAAACCCGGGGGTTTTGAGGGCTTCTAGGGACATTTAGGAGCAATTTTCATGGAACATTGTATACATTATAAATGTGTAAACTATACTGTATGATACTTAAAGGTACATTTTAGACCCATTAGAAAAAAATGAAGATTTTTCCAAGAGATCAGGTATGGCTAGGAGATGTAGAAACATTTTTTTGGGGTTTTAGGGTTGTTCTCCAAACAGAAAGTTGTACTCTATTAAAAGACTTGTTTTTCTATTTTTTATTTTTATAGACATGAGGACCTACAGCATTAGGTTTCCAAATTGAGTCACAGTATTATTACATGGAGAAATCCATTCCTGATAGGCAGAGTTTGATCCAAGGGCTTCAGGACAGAAATCCCGTTCTATAAGCAATAGACTAGTCACACCACAAACACTAAATAAACAACACTAAACATTGATACAATTTATTGGAAACACTGATGACTAGAAACGTGTCAGTACCTAAAAACAATTCTTGGTACCACCTAATTGCGTTTTTACTCGGAAAAGTACTGGTACCGAGAACCAACATTAAAATGGCCAGTGCATACAATAGTAGTATGACTAAATCCAAAACTAAAACTGACAGGACATTGAAAAAAAAAATGATTGTGGCAACATCTGTGAGTGGCTGTTTTGATCACTGCAACAACGTTATGATATCTTATGACTAGGGCAACGCAAATCATATCCCACGATCGCGGCAACAACTGTAAGCAGCTGTCAAGAGTATGACAGCATCATAATAAAATAATAACTAGAGATGCTAATTTTCTTACTTTACACGAAGACAAGAAAAAGAACAGACAGAATGGTGGTAATGAAAGATACCTCTACCATAGACTAATGGGAGTGATTTTTCAAAAATGAATTTATTCCATTTCTAACCAAAGTGTCCATGCAACTCATTGATTTTGCCAGTTCATCATAATTTATTTATTGATTGTATATAGAATCACGTGCATACCGTTCTCTAGTTGGCAGGTCATGCTAAATTTAAATAAGTTAATTTAATTTACAATTACAATCCATAATACTTGGAAACAATATTATCTATTATTAGAGTCGCGAAGTTTTAATTTTACTTAATATTGGAACTACTTATAAGCCAGTAACTGCCTAACTTTCCCCGACAGAAAATTCCCCACTCATCACTAATCAAGAAAAGTATCACTAAACATACTTGAGTGCTTCCAGTGGCATTTTACAGTAGGACATGTTGAGATACTTGAGGGACAGTGTGCTGGTGAAGAACTGTTTGAAAGACGGAGGAACCTCTTTGGCTTTCTTGGTGCTAAACGCATTTTTGGAGACGTTCAGATGGACTAGATTGGTGGCACACCCTCTCAGCAGGGCTCCGAATATCTGGAATAATGAATTTGGTATTAAATCCGACAGGAATTGTTTAAGTAACAGATAAATAATATCTCTTTTAAAATCAGCAGGTTTGATATTAATAACTAGGGATGGATGAGTCTCGGAAATTTCAGGAAATTTTTGGGAAATTTTAAATCTCGTTCTAGGAGACGAGATTCTATTTTGGTCAAGTTTTTTTCGAGACAAGATTAAAAAAAAATTTATTAAAAAAAATCTTTAACAAGTTTTAAAAATTTTTAATTTAAAAAAGATTAAAAAATTTAAAAATTAAAAAAACCTGCAAAAAGTCAATGCAATACCCGCAATACAGGATCGAATTGATGTTGTGTTTCCTTTGCGAATGCGTTTTTATCTAATTATTAATTCTTTACATGGAAATATTGCTTCGTTTTATAATTTTTTTGACAAGCAAATGATGATAAGTTTTGTTACTGTAAGCAGTGTGAAGGCATTTTTACTACTATAAACATAGCCAAAAAAAGTTTCTCCAAAATCATTCTAAAAATAACACAAGACTGAAAAATTGTTACTTGATACTTAACTAGTAATTGTTTTAGACTTATAAATTTGATAACTAGTAATTGTTTTAGACTTATAAATTTGATATTTTTCAAAGTTGAACTATACACTAACTGATATCTCCATGTTTCCTATGCCGAAGAGTTGTTTTTAATAAGTTAGGCCTTATAAATGTATTTTTTTTATATTGATGTTTTTATCAATGTTTTTAAATAAAAGATTTTAAATATTTTTGTCTATTGCTATTATTTTTGTATTTAACCAGTCTGTCATAAATCAGTAGGTATTTAAAAAAAAAAACAAAAAAAACAGGTTAAAATGTGGAACGTGCATTTCCTGTTTTGTATGAGAAGGGAAATCCCGTCTTGAAATTTTACGAGAAATAAAAAATCTTTTTCTTGAACAAAAAATCCAATCTTGTCCATCCCTACTGATTTGTATTATACAACAAATAGAAACATATTTATTCCTGGGAACAGAGAAAGGTCATCACATGAACAACGCATTAAATCCAACAGAAATTGTTAAAGTAAAAGTTAAATAATTTCTCTTTTATTATCAGCAGGTTTGATATTAATAACATGCATATTAAAACCAGTATAAAAAATAAATACTGTAGATACCCGGAACTATAGCTTTGTCTTTCATTACTATAAAACAATTGCTTTCTCTCTTCTGTTCTACTCTTACCGTTTCTAAGGTGCAGTCAGTTCCCGAGATATCGAGATGTGTGATTTGATTGGGTTGGGCCAAGAAGTTGCACAGATTCTGAAACAAAAATATTATTGTAAATTATCAAATGGAAAAAACTTGCAATGACGGTTGTGCCATTTGAAATGTTTAATTATTTCAAAGGCTTTGTTTCTCACGTCCTGTGAAATAAGGTTCTAAGTTGCTAATTCGCTGTGACCGTTGGGTAAAAATATTACACCTCGCACTTGCCTTGTGACTATATAAAACTATTTTGTTATTAATGAAACAATAAGAGACTTGCAGTTATTTATTTACATTATCAAAGGATAAAACATGAGACCAGATAAAAGTTGGAATGGACCACAAAGATTTGTCTATCTCAACTACAAAATGTCAAGTAAACTTATTTTAACTATCAGAACAGTCTTATGAGTATTTTTTGGGAAAAAATAAAAATATATGATCTTAAATTACTATCTTGATGAGGAAATATTGAAAGTCTATTAAGTAACGACAGACGAATGAAACATGACTGGTAGACATTTAATGTTCGGGTATGCTGTCTTATTTTGTTTAACGTTTAATCATTTTAAAGAGGGGAATTTGTAGTTAATATTTTTTTGTTTGGTTCTTAGACTTTTGCATGAATATTGAGAATCAATGACTCCTTAATACCTCCAAAAGGTTTTGAGGAATCAGGATCGGTCCATCCCAAATTTCCTGATTAGATTACAAAAATTAATGTACAATATGAAATATTAAGGTAGTAAGTCGCTTTTCACTGGCCTTGTGTTCCTGTACTGCAGTGAGAGCTAGAGATCTACAATATGTGCATGCTACTGGAAACTTTATAACTACAGTTAGCAAACTACAAAGTTAAACTTCAGGTGACCATGCAAAACAAATTGTGAGGAAAAGCGTATGCATACACGTTATCTACCAGTAATTAAATTAATAGTAGTTAGTTAATGCTAACTAGTTTTAATTTATGTTGTTTTTATAGCTTTTGTCCATAGTTAAAAATAAATTCAGATGGTATTTTGAATATCAGAAACTGGTATGAAAGGTGTGGAATAAATATATATTGTAGTTAAATCCATTATCAGTCTTTTTCAATTTCAAATGTCATTTCCATGTTTGTGTAGGTTTGAAATTGACCAGGTACGTCAGTTAAGGCTACAGCCACACTAGGCGACTTGATCGTCTCAACAGAAAATAAAAGTGGGTACATTAAATTAAATTAAGGCCATCACACTAAGCGATTTGAGATCCGCAACCACTTGCAACAGAAAAACGAACGCATCTGGGAGCATTTTTTGGTCACAACCACAAATATGCTATGTTATCTTACAGCATCGGCCAAACTGAGCAACAAGTCGCCCTCTCACACACCCAGTTCCTGCACTGTTTTGTTGGTTTTTGTTTAGTTTTGGTCTGACAGTAATAAAGTTACGTAATGCTGTAAGGTATAGATGTTTTAGTCGACGAATTAAACATGCATAGACCTCTATGAGATGTAACCATAAGGGAATAAGTATATTTTTTTGAAATATCCAAAAAAATTGTGTTCTTTTTTCAGCTTGATAAAACTACGACTAAAAACTCGTCTGAAAATACTACAAACTATTTGCAATTTCAAAATACATCATCCCTTAACAATGTTAGGTGGTGACACTAATGATGTTTCAGGAAATGCACAATCTTTTTAAAATATTCAATAAATATCAACCAGTCCTCCTCTCTCATTAAAAACTCGGGACAATAAGAAGTCACTCAAGTGCGACCAAGTCGCAAATAAAAAAAGTCATGGCAACCGAGCCGCGTAGTGTAGTGTAGTGTGTGGCCGTAGCCTATGTTTATTGAATAATTAATAATTATAATGTCGACACATCAGAAGTTGGCCAATTCTGTTATTAAAATTAAAGTGGCAAGGCTTTACCTAAAAATTTGTAAAAACACACCCACTACTACTTGTTAAACACATGTTCAACAGAAAAAAAGTCCAACAAAATATTAACATCACATGTTTGGGAAGAGGTTAGTTAACAGATGATGACTAGTATACAGCAAACAAAGAGTAACTCGTTGTTATGAAAATGATTTACTATATTGGCTGGAACAAAAAAAGACCATCCATAAAAGAGAGCCATAAAAATTGTTAAACCACATTTTACTTACCAGGATCGGTTCCTGTGAGTGGATAACAACAAAATACAATGATAAAATTTAGAAGAAAGAGCTTTACTAACACAACTTATGGCTCTCATACGATTATTTTTATTACTATATAAAACTAGACTAAAAGTTTTGTATCTTTACTGAAATGGTGCGAAGGAGTAAAAAGTTAACCAGCCAAATAGAAAAAAATTACCCTCCAAGTGCAAAGCTTTAGCTATACAGTTAAATAATTTTCTTAAAATTTGTTTATAGAATAACAGAATGAAAAAATAACTAGTAAACATTACATTTATTCTAAGCAACTAAACTCATCAGTCATTCTTAATATTTTATGAAAGTTTTTCATTATTTTATTTCTAGTAAATACTTTGATGATTAATTATTGAATTCCCTTTTGATAGTTTTATTTATGATTCAATTTCAAAGCTTGTTTATCATCATCAGAAGAATTCTTCTGTCTTGGATGTATGCAATGACTAAATTAAAAGCTGAGAAAATGAATAAACAAATAACTTAAGAAATAACGGATAAATAAAAAGTGAATAAATGAATTAAAGAATGAACAAACTGACTGATATTCATTTCTAAGATGGTTTACAGACAAACTGACTAATAGATGAAGAAGTGTACAGGTGAGAAAATGAATAAATAACACAAATACACCAATACAATTACTTGCTCATCTTATACCAAAATTTGCTGTTAAGTGCTAAGTCCATGCACAATAATACATACAATCTGAACCACCCAAACTTTGCATCTCTTTTATTCTTTATTTACTCTCTGTATTATTACTCGGCAAAATGCTATTTCATATCTGCTGACTAAGACTGTAGGCCAAGATTGATTTACTAACATATTTATAATATATAATATAAAATATATAATTATAATATATAATATAATATATTTACTAACATAACAAAGACAGTTGTTGTTTTGGATCTAGTTGTTTCAATATATTTCTAGACTATTTAAATTATTTGACAAGAAATTTGAATTTAGTCAGTCGGTAGCATTTAGTTAGGGGGTTTGAAGGAATTTTTGTTGAGAGACCTTAGTCCATAAGTGGTAATGGTTGTCAACAAAATCTTGATAGAAGGTTAAACAATTCTTCAAGATTCCGCCCACAAAAGATGTCTACTTAAATTGCCACTAACCACAGTAAAAAAATGGGTAACCTTAAGAGTATTCTGGTCAAACAACCGAATAAAAACATTCAAGCCATTTCCCCAATTTTCAACTTCTTAGGATTAATAATATGGGAACTTTCCAAACAAAGCCAAATACAGAGAACCCCTGACCTAAATCTCAGATAATAATCCTACACAAAACAGCAGGCTTTTGAAAACATTTGTATAATTCAATGGTGATGTAGTGATAGTGACCAAAAACCATAGACTAAGATAGACCGTGTGTTATTCTTCCTCCTTCCACGACCTACAAAAAAGACTCTAATACTGAAGAAGGAGCTAGTAGCTCTGAAAATTCCACGTCTTTATTTGTGTATTTTTAAAACGTTTTTATTAGCTCGCTTTCTTGTCCGGTACAAATTTTGCAATCAATTTTATACTAACTTCCCGATGAGCTAGAGACTTGAAACTTGAAACATAGCTCACAAATGGAAGACAATGCAATATTATATCATTTAATTTTTATATTTCCCTTGGGCTACGCCCCACGGGCTTGTTTTTATTAACTCGCTTTCTTGAAAATTTTGATACTTCCCGATGAGCTAGAGACTTGAAACTTGAAACATAGCTTACAAATGGATAACAATGCAATATTATATCATTTAATTTTCATATTTCCCTTGGGCTACGCCCCATGGGCTTGTTTTTATTAGCTCACAATCCTACAAATTTTGATATCAATTTTAAACGAAGTACCCGATGAGCTAGAGACTTGAAATTTGAAACATAGCTCACAAGTGGATGACAATGCAATATTATAGCATTTAATTTTCATATTTCCCTTGGGCTACGCCCCACTGGCTTCCAAATTTTTCATGTTTACATTTTGAAAGAATGTAAATATATCAATTAATTAAAGTCAGCTGTAAATACTTAAATTTGACAGTTCAAAAAGCAGAGGTTAAGAGGTACAGGTTCTGCTCCCAAGAGATTCTTTATACAAACAAATATTTCAAAATAAAGATAAACAATCTGATTGCAGATATAAAGGTGTTTGTTAATAATGTCATTTGTTATTTATTTAATATTCTATAAAGTAAACAATAATTAAATAGATTGATATATTTATAGTTAGTAGGTAGGCCGTACATCCAATATAATACATAATTATATGAAAAGGAACTCAAATAAGCCTTAGATTTCCCACATGCCTCTGTCCTAATCTGATATAGATGCATGAAATAGATTTAACATCCACACACATTAAAAACTAAAAAGTAGAAAATAATTTATAAATAAAAAACTTTTTAAAAACAAAACGTAAAAAGTTTGGTGGATTCTTTATGGGTTTTGACTCAAATCAGGTTTTGTTTAATTCTAGCAGAGGTATACTAAATTTTTTTAAGAAGTCATTAAACAGTCCCTAGACGATCATAATACATCAAAAAGATTACCCAGAATTAAAAAGCCGTCACCCAGAATTAATCATTTGCGTACACAAGTTGTGGCCACCGCGACGACATCACCGATCGGTCCTTAAATGTGTGTTTGTGTATTGTGTAATGACTGATTTTTTTTATATGGAAGACGAAGCAACAGCGGATAACCTGATGATATCACTGTGTTGACGAAACGTGTCGTAAACTACACCAATTTTAAACGGTAGAAGGTAACATTATTATTATTTAAAAAGATTACGTTTAGAATGATTAGATCAAATATCATAGTGCAATAAGAAAGTGCATTTAAAGTTAAAAATGTTAATTGTGAATGATTGTGAACTAGACAAACCTACGAAGCTGAATGAAATTTACTAACAGTGTGTAATTTCATTGCCTCAGTGAGAGAGTACAAGTGTAGAAGCGTTCTACTTTAAGTAACTCATACAGCACTAAACTTGACTTTAAGGTAAAATAGATTAATAAACTATTAAAAGTTAGTTCCTTATATAGGCTAAATTGATACAAACTAAAACCAACCCTGCACTGAATAATTTTTGAAAAATGTAAATTAATTGGAAAATTAGCCAGGGAACAGCAACTATCCTCTGTGGCATGAGTAGTTGGCCTAGCCTGGCCAATGAAATAAAAAAAAGTTGTGTATATATTCCTTGATTTCCCAATTACACCTGTTTAACATATAAACTGGATGTAGATCTCTGAATAGATTTTGTATTGTTGTAGATCTCTTTGAACAGAAATAACAATTAAATTCAACCACTAATGAATACAAAAACATTTACTGAAACAACCTCACCCACTTTACTGTTTGAGCTACTTTAGAAAGGTTTCATAAATTGACCTGCAATTTCCTCACTCCGTCATAATTATTGTCTGCTGAACAACAACATAAACTGTGACTCACATTGACATCCTCCTTGAGGTTGTTGCCGCTGAGGTTGAGGTAGGTGAGAGTGTTGGGCATCAACTTGTTGAGTGACAAAGCGTGCGCCAACTGGTTTACTCCCTTGCTCGTCAGACCGCAGTGTGACACGTTCAGGTGGACTAACCCCTTGGAACCCTTGGTCAACGGAGTGCTCAGATGACTAGCACCTGCATCAGAATGGTAGTACAGTTTGGGTGGTTAGGTAAGGCATTACAGTAGAGCGTTGATTATCCAAAACAATTGGCGCAGAGGTGTTCGGATAGAATATCAGCGTAAAATGGTTGAATTTCTTTGTTTACTGTAATTAGAATCCCTCTCGGCATAAAGTGTATAATTTGAGCTACAAACAATATTTGCGATCATTGTAGAAGCTTTAATTTACTGAAATGCTATTGTAATCGTCAGCACAGGTGATTGCCTAGATCTTCGGCATATCTAACCATATCACAATGATTGTCTTTAGTTTGTGTACATAAGAGCATTAAGCATAGTACACTCAGCATTGAGCATAGTATACTTACTTAATGCACAATGTTTGAAAGGTGGAATGAAAATAAAACAGTTTTGGCGATAATCAGCGCTCTACTGTACCTTGGTTTTACATATACGTAATCCAACAAGAGGGTATCAAAACAAACAGTTAGAAATTCAACACAGACTTTTACCACAAGAAGTTATGCTTCCACAGCCTTAAGGTTGATACAGTTTTTTAGTTTTTTAATTTAGAGTTAGACTTTTTACCAACACCTTATCTAGTAGTATACTTATTGGACAACTTTACAATTGTTAAACGTGAAAAGTCTGTTAATGAACAAATATTACATCCCTATATTAAGTGGTAAATTTATTAAATGAAACATTTTACAAATAGTTCAACTAACTTATTTGTGAAAATTCAAGTAAAAAGCTAAATCGCTAAACTAAAAAGGAAAAATATGTAGAGTATTATTTCCTCCTAGTCACATAATAACATTCGTCATAAGTCTGGCCAAATATAAACTTCTCATAAATCTACTCTCTAAAGAAGTTCAATATTTGGACGAAACATCAGAGTTATGTTTTGTGATTTTCTTTACATGTATCTATAGTTTGTTCAAATAACAAAAGCAGTCGGGGATGGGACCTACATGCAGCCAATGAATAAAGGTTAGCATTCATTGGCAGCATGTAGGTCCACTGCCAACCGCCTTCATTATTTCTACAAACTATAATGGCCTTTGGACTCTAATTTTCTCAGATAAGCTAGGTGAGTAATTTTTAAAATGTCTATGCAACTTTTGATGCAAAACTAAACCTACAGGAATAGTCTAGACTAAAACTATTAACAGAATTAGCATGCAAAAAAAGGAAAAGTAACTCGGATATGCGCACCTTGGCAGAGTTTGGCCACGATTCCACACAAACTATTGGCACCTGGGCAGAACAGAGAGTCAAGCAGGGGTAAACTTATGACCTGAAGGAGGGGTGAGTCTAGTCTAATGTCACTTTGGAAAAACAAGTCTCCCCCATCAAGAAATACTTGACACATAAGAATCCATCTAAATTATATTTTCCCAAAGGTATGAGCTTGAAATTGTAGGATTTGTCCTAGCGAGTTCTATACACTATGACATATTTTGCCACGGTGTGACATGTTCTTTTATTTACACTGCTGAGGATACAAATTTGTGACACAGTATCGTACAGCAAAGACAAGTACATTCACGGGTGTGTGACACACTTTTGTAGAAAACGAACTCACTTTTTATAGTTTTAGCGAATTTCCCTATAGGGAAGTAGCTATTACCGTAGGTCTCATGGTAAGACCTAAGCCCGGGACCGATTTACTTTTTCATTTTGATGTCCCCAGAGGCCAAAAACACCATTCGTTCAAATTTTTATATATCTATATATATATATATATATATATATATATATATATATGTCCATCCGCACGATAACTTGAGTAATTTTTGTCCGATTTTGATAAAATTTGGTTTGAAGGTGTAAGGCGGGATAAACTTGAATGAGTTCGCGAACCAGCATGATCGGACTATGGGAACGGGGGTTTATGGGGGGTTTTATGGGGTAAAAATAGGGTTTTCCCATTTTTGACCCTAAAAACACAAAATTTCACAATTTCTTTTTAAACCATTTTGTAGAGCTTAAAAAAACAAATAATTTAGTATATTGACGCATTATTATGCGCCTAATTGTTACGGAGAAAATTAAAAAAAAATGTAATTTTAAAATTCCCATGTTATTATTATGGAGAATAAGTCAACTGTTGTTGTTTGCTTGTTTATGAACATATTTTGATCAAATTTGGAAAATACATTAATTTCTTACTAAACTACAGTACCTTTTAATATTTTACATAAAAAAAAAACTTTTTTACCCTCCCTGTTGCAGCAAACCTAAGTACTCATTAAACTAATTCTGTTTAAATTGGGAATAGTGATATTTTTAAGGAGACATTTTAGTTTAAATCCAATCAGGCAAATGGAAATTCGCTAAGTCTGCAGGTTTGCTGCGGCGGGGGTATTTTCCTCGTAATTGTTGACGTTACTAGCAGAGGGTTCAGGTTAGGTTGGGGTTAAATAAACAGATTACAGTCACCTTTTACTTTTACAGCATTGCCAGTTTTTTTGACAGTTTAAGCTAATACTGAAAGTTTACCACCCCAACAAATCCCAGAAAACCCCAACCCTCTGATAGCAATAACCAACCATCCTACCTAGTTGTCAGTAGAAAAAAACTACCACAAAAAGTGAGTTTGTTTACAAAAAAATTGTAACATGAGCACACACCTGCGACTATGCTTGCTTTTGCGTGAATGCCATGTCGCAAACTAAGTGTCGATCGCCACCGTGTACATCATTAAGACATTATTAAACGCAACTGATAAGCTTACTTTTCCAAAGTGACAAAACACCAAAAATTAAAAATGAGATTAGAGGTTGAAAAAACACATCAATATTGCACACATAAAAAAAATGTATATCTTATAAAGATTTGCTGGCATAGCTTTAATCTCATAACAGATCGATTTAGACATAAAGATCTCTTGGTTTTATTAAAAAAAATATTTGGAAAATATAAGTAACAGAGTTGAGCAACAATAAAAAAAACAATAAATATATCAGTGACAACTTTCAAAATGTTTTGATGAGTTATAATTTTTTATATTTATCAATACAACAAAAAAAAAAAAAATCATAGGAAGTTTAAGAGAATTCCTTACTTCATTATAAGCAGAATTAAAACTTAATCTGTAGATCTGCAATGTTGATACGTTGGGGAAGGTAGGTGATATTACATGATATTGAATAAACATAGAACATTTCCTTCTCCACCAAAAGAACTTTTAAAGGTGGAGTTAATAAACATCAAACACTAAACATAACTAAAAATAAAACATTGAGTGCTTGTTAAATGGAGTGCTCAGAAGGTTAAGATGGAGCAAAATTGCTATCAATTTTGTTCTTCAGAATAAATAGTTTGGGAAAGATTTCCCGATGGCCTAAGCAAGATTTTGTTAATTTTTAGCTGCTTGGAAAAACAAATAAATGGTTGACTAACGGTGTGTATAAAAGTCATAGCTGAGATTAATTCATAGATCTTATTATAGGTAGACCTAGTTTAGTTCAATTAAATGCTACCCATAACTATAAACTTGATACAGGAGGTACAAAGAACATTCAGAAAATAGCCTCCGTTCAGTTATATAAAAAACTATTAAGTAAAAAAGGTTTGCATATATTTTTCTTAAAACTGAATATGATTAACATACACATTTAAGCACTTAATGTACAGTTTTGCAAGCCTCAAAATTATGTTTTTTGAGGTAGCCGCAGAAAAGTGCTATTGGAAACGGCCAAGTACATTTTTTTATGTTACAAATCTTATAATAGCTTGCACTTCACATTTGGCGAATTTTATAGCTTATCACACAGTTTGAAACACAGAAAATTGAAATAACCTATCACTCAACCTTCAACTACCACTTTGACTGACCTTCCATGCCACTGTACAAAACGGCCGCACTACTTCCAAAACTTCCCGCACATAAAAACCAAACATAGTGAAAGTAACCAAACATAGGTTACTTTCTGAGTAGTCCTCGTACATTCAAAGGGTAAACTCCCTTAGAGTCTTACACTAGTTTCGGTAATTTCTTTTTTTAAGAAAAAAAAACATTAACATAAGATTAGAATTTGAATTCCAAATGGCAAATTTATGGGAAAACTCTGGCATATTTTACCTGAATGAATAACTCCACTTCAAATTTATTTTATTTTTATGGTAAACAATAAGACACATTAATAACGTAATGGATGGAGGAATGAATGAATTTAAAGCCACTAAATTACCGTCCTATATATTATATCATTCAAAGCAATTCATTCTTCAACTTTAGATTAAACATGCTTACAGCATCTATGAAACAGCAGTATAGTTATCCTTACATGATTCTAAGCAAGGATTAAACTTTATTTTCCAAACTTGGAGCACCAGCAATTACTTGGAAAAAGTTTAAACTTTTTAAAGCGTTTTAAATTGGAAAACATCTGGGATAACAACTAAGTGCATGGATACATGCTACGTCTGAGTATAAAACAGCTTTGTAGCTTTGGAGATTGTTGTTACAGAGGGTTTGAAAGTTTGGCGAGTCGTCTGTTTTACCTTTATCTTCGATCATGTTGTTGGACAGGTCCAGAGTATGCAGAGGAGTGTTGTTATTTGAGATCAAAGAGAGAGACAGCTTGTGAGCGAACTCCCTGAAAAAAATTGTTATGTTGAAGTACGCCATTTGATAAATTATTTTCTTAATCAGCAAATTACGTCTTAATTTTACACGGGAACCAGAACACAAAGGTTAACAAATTCAAGAAATATAGAGTATCAATAGCCTTCAGAACCCAGAACGAATTGAGTAAAATAGTACATAGAAAAATATAAGATTGTAATAAATTTGACTCTTCAAGCATCTACAAAAATTGTAATGATTGTGATAGCTTATACATTGACCAAACCGTAAACTTTGACGTTTCAAATGCACATGTCTACCAGGAGAAACAACAAACTGGATCAAATTTCCCACAACACCTGTTACAAAATGGCTACTTATTAGGGAAAATGGAGGACACTCTATGTATTTTAAAAAAACTTTGTGAGACAGTAAATGTGACGAATGCTTGGGAAAAATGTTACCCCTCTCCCTTTTGAATCCTAAATCTTGCCATGGCCATATAAAGCCTCGTTTTCATGTGTGGCATGTCGAGTCGCTGATGCCTTGAACTACAGCTTCTCTACTATTACATCAAGAGAACGGCTCGTCAGTGACTCTTAGAGCTAGCTCGAGGTGGTGTGTCAAGTCTCAAGCTCTTTCTTCAGAATATTGGTAAGACGAACATCAAAGGCCAGTGGATTGTTAGTCTGCCAGACTAGTTTTGGCTTTTTGGAGCTTTTTGTTCTGTTGCGCTGTTGAATGTGGTGGTGTTTAAGTGTACGGGTTTGGAAATGGAATGGATAATCACTCTGCAATGTGTTTTTGGATATATGAACAGGAAAATACATTGAAATCAACTGTCTTACAATATTTCTCATAAAAGTATGAGCAGCACAAACCGCTAACTCGTCACCCTTATCACCCATGGTAACTACAAAGCCTTAGTTGCTGTCAAGCACCAGTCCTTCCTTGGCTCTTTCCTTTCAAGGCTGTTTCGCTTTTCAAATCGCCAAATCGCCACACGTCGTGAGAACAAGCTCGCAAATTCCTCAGACAATTCAAAATCCATTGACAGATCAAGGTCATCTATGCCTGGATAAGCCACAGCTTGTGGGAAAGATCAAAGATGCTCAACTGTTATCAACAATACATACCACTTGACTCCCAAGTTGTCCAAGTATAACTGTTCGATGGTCAGGTTCTTCTTCATAATGTGAATGATCCTCTCCAGAGCGTCATGCGTCAACTTGGTGTTGCTCGCTCTCAGCTTGGTGAACCATGTGTTGTACTCGAGGGCGCTGATGATGGGCACCAAGTCTCTGGAACATTGTCCTTCGTAAAGTACATACAAGGATGCATTGACTACAGATAGGACTAGTTATTTATTCCACCAACATGTTATAGTTGTGGCAAGTTTAAGAGTAACAACTAACTTGTTCAGGTAGGTTTGGAGGAAAAAGCATATGGATTATGGCCAAGTGATTTAGTAGGGTGTTTTGAGGAAGGGCCCCGGTACCCAAAAACCCAAATAGAGCACCTCTACCCAAAAATGGCTTCTTTACCTAAATAAAGAGTTCTGAACAGCACAAAAGATTCATAGTTTTATAACTGCTATTCTGCCCCTCACCCCTGAAGGAGCTTAATTGTAGGAGGGAAATATCAAATTAATTGTGTTGTGAACTTTATTATTGGACTGCGCTGCCAGGATCTCTTTTCTTGGCTAAGTTAGTTGTGTATCTAAAAGAGTGCACAAATGTTTTAACCAAGTTAAACAGAAAGGGCTAATTATCAACTATAGCATATAGAAAGGAATTACAACCTTAATAAAGGGCAATTTATGAAATAATGGATAGTTTTGCGCAATGTTTCTCGTTATGACAAACATTTTAAACATATGGTTTACATGAGTGTGACTTGGGAGTTTTCTCAAAAGTTCATGGGTACTTTGGGATTTATATATGGATTTTATGGTCCATTTACTATCACAGAACTTATAAAAGTGATGGTACTTTTGTATCACTTACTTGGGATCTAAGTGATCAAAATCCCTCAAACTCAGCTCTCTGGTGTCGTGAGATAAGTATATGGTGTCAACATCCTGGAAAACAGAAGTACGTAACTAAGTTTTACAAACCACATATAAAATCTGTTTATTAGGTCATGGATTTTACACAGGCATTCATTTGATTTAAAATATTATAGATTTAATGCAGTAACTTCATCATAAAGTAACATTCAATGTTTTATTTCCTATCTTGGTAATTGAAAACTAACAGTGTTAGAGTTTATCAGGGATATTTGCCGTAACGAGTGGTACGTACCCAGGCAACCTCCTCCCTGTAAGGCATGGTGTGGTAGTCACACATGCAGGCGTACTGGGTAGAGAAGCCGTTACAAGGGCCGAGCCCTCTCACCTCCGACGCTCTCGTGAACTCAGACTCTCGCAGGTTTGCGATGCGCTTAGCCGGTACAACTTCCACCTTGCGGATGATGTGTCTGAACAAAAATTATTATTTTACAAACTTCATCTCAAGACTTTTCCTTTCAATTCAAATATACTTTGTTCAGAGAGGTATACAATACAAAGCTCAAAATTAATGAGTATTATGAATTAAAATGAACATCCCATACTAAATTGTAATCTTTATTAATATTTTTTGAATATTTGAAATCAATGATATTTTTTTAGAATTGTCAAACTAGTTTATCCTGTATTGTTGGAAGTGGATGACACGTGTAACTGTTCTAGATGAATAAATTATTTATACATTCATTAACTTGGTACAGGATATAATTAATTTCCCAATACTTAGATGCATAAGCCTTTTTAAAAAAACCTTGTCTGTAGCATTTCTTATAAAAATTATGTCTTTTCTCATTTTACACGTTAATTCCTCATCCGACAATTCCATAACAACGAATGACCTGTTTCTTTGCTATCCGAGTCAGTACCAGTGGCGAATTTCCTGCTTCCACTGTGACCACTAACAAAATATTTGACTCAGATTAACCTCCCGCCGAAAATTTGAATCTGATTCTGAAACGGCAAGTACTCAAGTCGTACCGTTACAACAGAACCAAATTATTGTACCGTAACAATAATTACCATAGCTAAGGGGGTTAACAATTAATTTAAATTCAATTGTTTAATACAATATAAATTGACAAAGACAGTTTAGGTTTAAAAAAGCGTAAAACAAAACATTTTTATCTAAATTTTAACTAATTTCCCCGGACTACCTACTTTCCAATCGGTTCTTCCTTACCCCCTCCCCCCTAATAGGAAAAGTCAGATGGACGCCCGCGATTGCCTCTTTTCACCTTGCTCATCGTTAGTCAGTAACTTTGTCAATCAAATTCTGATTTTTCGTGGTGATGTTAACTACTTCTTGTCTTGTTGGTATACTTATTTGTATACTTGACTATACAAATGTTTGTATATCTGAATCAGTGAGTTACTTGGAGTTATACTGAAAGGAATAGGCCTATATGACCTGGAACAACTATTATTTAAAAGTATTTCTTACGTGAGAGGTACTGTGGGGAAGATGTTGCGTATCGCAATAGCCAGGGCTTGCACCATATCGTCCACTTCCGAACTGCCAGTGTCCTCGTTGGTGAGGAACGACCATATTTTGTCTCCTACAGTTAAAGTCAGCTGTGGGAAAATAATGGGTTCAATACTTCAAGCATAACAATTTTCATCAAAAATGACTTTTATTGATAAAATATGCAAACTCTTTTGAAATCCAAATTTTTTACTAAAATAGGTCTCTCAGAGACGGTGAACTATTTCCATATTAAAGATCACCCTCCATTAAATAAAAGCTGTAGAAGATTATGAACATCAATATAAAACGTTAACTAATGATGAAAGTATTCAGCTTGATCCAACTCGTTTGAGTTATTTTTCAACGGTTGTTGGATCAGAATTGATTTGAGTCAAATTTTGTGCAAATTTTTTCTGGATGAAACCACCATTTGGAAATAATTCTTCTTCTAACATAAGTGTTGTGTTCTAAAGTGTTTAATTATACTGTTATACTGCTATAGGTTATAGGTGTTATACTGCTTAATTATCAATTATCAATCATTGAGATGGGGACGCAGAACTGTAATATATAGCAAGCGACATCATTGTCAGTAAGCCATTGATGATTGATAGTATTTGACCAAAAATCTCAAGTACTAAAGTATTACGCTCTGTCCAGCAGACGGAGCTGTACTGCAGTCTCTTCACGATATTTTTGTACAGAGCAAAATGGTTTCAACAAGGAGACTTGACATATATAGCATTTTTCTATTTTTGGTACATTACACAGTAATTACAATAAATCAATAACCCAGGCCTATTAGAAATGAGAAACATTTTTTACATGGGGATTACTCACCTGATTGTTTCTTTTACTTTCAATCGCTTGAATTTCCAAGTAGTGGAAGTGGTAATCAATCTGTAACAAAACACAAGAATCAACTGAATCTGATATGTGAATCTTGCAAGTAAAATAAACTAAAGCTTGGTATGTAAATCTTGTAAATAAAATCAACTGAAGCTTGGTATGTAAATCTTGCAAGTAGAATCATAGACTAAGCAACACAAGTAGACTCCTCATCCCATTGTAAATTTTGAAGCTTGTTTTTTGTGTCTAGTTCATGTACGTCCACACTGATCGCTGGGGTAGACAACATTTTGTTTCTATTATTTTAGGGTTATTTTCATGATTTGTGCTTTACTATTTGGTTATAAAACTAGGAGACCAGTTATTGTTTATGATTAAATTGTTTTATTTTGTTAAATTATGTTTTAAATGACTGAAATAACAAGAAAAAAATTGTAAACAAAACATAACCTACCTACAGTTGGACGTACAGAACAAACAATAAAATTAGCTTCAGCTGTTCCATAAGGATGACAAATCTACTGAAGGAGTATGATTTATCTATGGTAGAATCAACTGCTTTGTATGTAAAACTTGCAAGTAAAATCAACTAAAGCTTAAATCTTGTAAACAAAATCAACTGAAGCTTGGTACGTAAATCTTTCAAGTAGAATCAACTGCTTTGTATGTAAAACTTGCTAGTGAAATCAACTGAAGCCTGGTAAATCTTGCAAGTAGAATCAACTGATGTTTTTCAGTTGACTTATGCAAGTTCACTGAAGCTATGTAAATCTTGCAAGTAAAATCAACTGATTACTGCAAGTAAAATAAACTGATCTTGCAAGTGGAATCAACTGCTTTGTATGTAAAACTTGCAAGTAAAATCAACTAAAGCTTAAATCTTGTAAACAAAATCAACTGAAGCTTGAAGTATGTAAATCTTTCAAGTAGAATCAACTGCTTTGTATGTAAAACTTGCAAGTGAAATCAACTGAAGCCTGGTAAATCTTGCAAGTAGAATCAACTGATGTTTTTCAGTTGACTCATGCAAGTAAACTCAACTGAAGCTATGTAAATCTTGCAAGTAGAATCAACTGAATACTGCAAGTAGAATAAACTAATCTTGCAAGTGGAATCAACTGCTTTGTGTGTAAATCTTGCAAGTAAAATTAACTGAAGAATCTTGCAAGTAAAATCAACTGAAGCTTTGTACGAAACCTTGCACATAGATTCAACTTAAGATCTTCCTAAATATTGCACAAAGACAACTGAAGCTGTTCTAGTAAAATAACTGTAGTGAATGCTTTGAGAATAAAACGGGAAACTTTAATCTTTATATATCTTTAGTAATACAGTAGAACAACTCATATCCGGCCTGGGTTTTACCAGTTTTTGGTTTATCCTGCCACTTCTGAGAACCAAATTTCCGGAATCAAATTGTCTTTCCCAAAGCTTAGTTGCTCATACTCGTCTCCACGACTCGAGCACTCGCAGGGTTTATCTGTTTGTTTAAATTATTTACATTTCACGCTGTTAGAGTTTGATTTTAGTTTGATAAACGTATTTCAACTTACCCTTGTTGGTACCTTTGCAGTGAGTAAGAAGAGGCGGCATGGTGAAAAGACCTGAAACGTAATTTAATAGTAAAATTGTCAACTTTAATCGGCTTCTTTCTATGACAAGTAGAACGTCTATAATTCAAACGTCAAAAATCCGGATTTGTCTCAATCATCATCTCAATAATCCGGATTTGCCTCAAGCAAGAAACACAATGATTTACCATCTAGTAAAACTAATTATGGTTGACTTAGCTGCAAAAAGCAACCACTACCGCAGTTCAAAAGCCTATCACACAATTTTTTAAAGCTCAAATGTGTAGTGCCTGATGTGTTTTACTGTACACTTTAACAAATGTTGCAATACACTTAATACAAAACAGACCTAGAACAAAATAAATTGCTATTCATCTCTCTTTTAGACCCTTTACTGTATCTTAGCAAATACAATTTTGAAAGTTTTACTTAAATAGTGTGTGCGAGCTTTTATACGGTAATTTTGATCATCCGGATAATTTTATAAACAGGATGGGGTCCAGTCCCAATTAATCCGGATTATAGACGTTCTACTGTATATTTTCAGATGGTAAATAAATAAAAATATGTGTTATCTAATATTGCATGTTATGTAGGCCTACTTGATAAAGACAAACTTTTTTCATGACAGACTTCACCCACAAATTATTTATTAGATTTATTAAGGTTTATTTGAGATTTAGTCTTTTGAGGGTACTTTACACCAGTAAGACGCTGAATCTAGTAGAATTCCATGAAGAAATATTTGAACACTGATTGACCAAATAAATATTTACTTACCAATACTCTGTTTTCGGTTTTATCTCCTTTAGTTTCCAGGCGTACAACATTTTTCAGAAGTATTTTCACACGTTTTCCAAGTAAGGCTTTTACACTCTCTGAAACAAAAAAAATAAAAAATGTTTCATAAACTTTTAAAGTAAAGCCTATTGTTATGGTTAGTTGTAATTTAATATTCCCAAGAATTAAAAAAAAATATATTACCAAAGTAGAAAACTAAAAAAAGGGTTTACAAATTGTTAAGGATTCTGCAATTTTTATAGTGTTAAAAGAGATAAAATTTGTAGGCCTAATTTTGTTTGATTGATTTAAATTTGAAATTAATATATACTCAAAATATAGAATAGTAGTTTGCTATTAGGTTTGTGCAGTGTTACATGTGATTGTTCATATATTTTTTTAGTTTTTAAAAAATTACAAAAATTGTTATTTTTATTAGAACATAATCTCCAGAAACAATTGTGACCTTTTATAGATAAGTTGTTTGGTCAATAATGTAGAGGCCTACCTAAATTTTTATGGTAAATTTGACACTATTAATGTATATAAATTGTATAGCCTAAAGTGAATAATGATAATTTGAATTGATTTTAGATTTAATTTGAACCTCTAGCAATTAACCCTTTGCGGTCGAATGGCGAGTATAGGTCGCTGCCCGCCATTTTTCCGACTGCTCAAAAATGGCGTCCTACAAGGACAAAAAAAAAATATATATTCAAAAAAGTTATTTTTTTTTGGTCGAATGGCGAGTATAGGTTGCTGGGCGCCACTTTCCTGACTGCTTGAATGGCAAGCTAAATTCGCCGGAAAATGTGGAAAAAATTCGACCTCAAAGGGTTAAAAACAGCTTTTGAACATTTTAACAATGATTTCTTCTACACAGAAAACCTGTTTTTAAAAGCCCTATAACTAGGCTCAAACCGACACAATCTCTCGCTCTAGTCACAACTCATTGCATCTTCTCTGACTGATGACTTCACTCCATGCATCACGCACCGCACACATCTACAGCCAATTAATTCAACCTTGTAGTTTCTCAGAGAAAGTGGAGGTGGAATTCAAATTTAATCACTCAAAACATCTTGGAGAGCACAAGGTACATAGGAGTGTCATTATGAATAACTAAAATATGATAAATAAAATTATGAAACCAAAAATAATTACTGGGTTCATAGTGTAAAAAATGTTGTAATTATAAATACCCACGCCGCGGCAAACTAAGAAAATTTCTATTCACAGTAGAACCTCTTTAATCCAAACTAATTGGGACCAGGGGTAGTTCGGACTATTAAGTTCGGATTACAGAACATATTGTTGTTTTTACATAACAATAGCTAAAACATGGCTAAAATTGATCAAAATTATTTTAGGGAAAGTGAAAAAAATGTTTTATAAAGTAAAATACAGTGTTTATTTAGTAAAGTAGTAAACATGGTGAATAAACAGTACTGTACATTAAATACAGTATCCAATAAAGAACTGCTGTACTGTGTATAGAGTACAGCAATGAGGGGTTCGGATTAAAGAGGCACTACTGTACCTGGCTGGAATTCCACTAAATTATTCCCTTCAAACTTTCAGATTTATTTCCTAAAAAATATCATTAATTTTAATGAGTAATTAGGTTTGCTGCTACAGGGAAGGTAATTAGGTGTATGTGTTTTTTTATTAAAATATTTGTAGCTTAGTACGAAGTAAACAAATTTTCCGGATTTCATTAAAATGTGTCCATTCACAAGCAAGCTCAGTTTTCTTATTCTCCAAGAACAACATGGTAATTTTAAATTTACACTTTTTTGGATTTTTTTCCATAATTTTTAGACATAAAAATACTTCAATTTATTAAATTATTTGTTTGTTAAGCTCTAAAAAATAGTTTTGAAAAAAAACTGCAAAATGTTGTTTTAGTGTGAAAATGGGAAACCCCCATTTTTACCCCACAAAACCCTGTTTCCATAGTCAGATCATGCTGGTTCGCGAACTCGTGCAAATAAACGTAGGTTTACTCCAAATTTAATCAAAATCAGGTCATTTTTGCTCGTGTTATCGTACTAAACTGACACACATACAGTGGATCCTCAATAACAAGGCACTTGATAACAAGTCAACCTTGATAACAAGTGTCATTTTCAGACCCCCCTTGAATTTATTTCCCCCTTAATCACATGGTATTGTAAATCTCGATAAGAAGTCAACCTTGATAACAAGTTTTATTTAATAATCCCTGTGGGACTCTTGTCATCAAGGTTCTACTGTATATATAGCCTATAAAATAAGATTCAATTATATGAATTTGAACGGGTGGTGTTTTTGGCCTCTGGGGACCTCAAAACAAAAAATAAATCGGTCCCAGGTCCAGGTCTTACCATGGGACCAATGGTAATAGCTTATTCCCCATATGGGAAATTTGCTAATATTCCCTATATGGGATATTCGCTTAAACAGAAAATAAAATAAATGAACACCTTTCAGTTTAGAAAAAAACTTAATACAAATCTTGTATTTTAGAAAATACCATCGTCGGAGAAAACCTGCAGACAGCTCGGCATGGCCTATTGGAACAATTAAAAGACAAGACATGGACTTGAACAGCACTGAACAGTGAAGCACTGGTTGATGTGTGAATCATAATTCAGCCGAATACAGATCAGTAGATTAGTCACCACTTGTAACTTGTGGTGACTTCTTGTCTTTGCTTGATAACTACCAACTACTCTGATACAGACGCAATATCTCATTTGTTATTCATACAAAAATACAGTATTGAATGTATATTGCGTAGAATCACTAAGTTTACGGTATTTCCGTCAGTGGTTCACACTGCCTCTGCACTGCAAATAACAAAACTCATGGTCTACCAAGAAAAACAAAGACAACAAAATACAACGCACACAGTATAGAAAATAGAATTCTGTAGATTATAAAGTAATTTCTTTATATTACATTTTGAGTTTTGTAGTTCTGCTGGCCAAATACAATTACAAGTGCCTGCCACAAACCGCCTTAGAACCAGCAGTTTGAGATACATTTTGTTCTTAAATAAAGGGGAAAATTATAACATTTGTTTGTTACTTTTGTGTACCAATTGGACTTTGCCAAAAGTCATGTGAAGTGTGGCAAGGCCAAACTGGTGTACGGTAATATTTTCCATAAATATATTTGAATTTTGCATATTTCGCATAGAGGGCATAAGCCTTGTATCATAGTAGAACCTAGAACCAGGATTAATTTACTTTTGGTTTCAATGTCCCTAGAGGCCAAAAACAACATCCATTCAAATTCATAGCTGTATATGTCAATTACTGCGATTTCACGAGTAAAAATCATCCGATTATGATGAAATTAGGTACAAACGTTTTAAACCTACATTTATTCAAACAAGTTCACAAACCAGTATGATCAGTAGGAACTCAATACATCAAGCTTTGCGATTTCATTCTGAAAAATTTTGAAGAGCTTTTAAAAACGGCTTGAACAGATTAAAATTTACCTTGTTATAGTCTTTTCAACTGTAAACAAAATGGCACAACCCTCAATGCTGTAAAAATTACAGATCAAAAATTTTGTGATTTGACCCATAAAATATCATAGTGATAATGGTTGTTGATAATCTAATCGGAGAAAGTATGTGTTAGATTGCTGATACTATTTATTTTAGAATATCTCTTACTATTAACACCTTAACTTTGTGAATAAAACAATGACCCTCCAAAAACCCATTTATGTATAACATTTGGCACATTTCTTCCCAAGCATCTGTGTAAGATTGTTTATCGTTTTGGCTCTTTTAAATGTTATAGGCCTCCTTTGACTAATCAGCTGGTAGCATTTACCTACACCAACAACTATTGGCGAAGGTCATTTCTTGTTACTTTCTCGTCTCTGCTTTACACAAGGTAGCGCCCGTTACCAAGCACGCTGATAAGGATGATATCAACTTAGACTAAGTGGTTCTTGTGGCCAGTAGTTGTATGAACCCCACCTAAGTTGCTGAGAACCCATGGATCGTTACATAATTTAGTTCTAAATCATTTCTCGTCCTCTAAAAAACTATAGCAAAAGAATAGAGTAAAAATTGTAAACTATAAAAATTTAGTGCTACCAAGCATAAGCAACACGAAACACATAAAAATAAACTTCAGATTTTGGCACGGGTTAAGGAAAAATTTAAAACAATAAAATGTTAATTTTCTAAGTTGAAATGCAGCCTTTTCTTATTGAATTTGTTTATCCACATTCACAGTAATTTTGCCTTCTCTTATTGCTTTACACAATATTTGGAAGTTAGAACTTTTTCAGTCATTCAAATTATTAGGCCAGTAAAAATAGGTTTTTGCCCGGAAATAATTACCGGAAAGCTGGAAATCGTTTTAATCCTTTTGTTTTATATAGAAGTAAAAGGATTTGAAGTTTGTCCCATTTTTCCAGGTGAGCTTCTGACCTGGGACCACAAAAACCTTGAAATTTAGGGTTATTTTTTAGTTTTTACTAAAACGTCAACAAACCGTCCAAGCTACAGAAAAACACATAGTAAAGGAATTGTAGAGCATAAAATTCCGCATCCATTGAGTATATGGTGATGAATATCGAACCAATATTAAGCTATTTATAGTAATTTAAATAAAGTTATTTTATTAAAAATTATTGAACACTGCATATTTAACATTTATTTTTCTTCTAGAAGATGGATTCCAAGTACATTATTATTTACAAAGTAATTAAAACGAATTACAAATACCCTCGCCGCAGCAAACCTGCAGACTAAATGATTTTCCATTTACCTGGCTGGATTTATACTAAAATATTCCCTAAAAATTGTCAGATTTAATTCCTATTTAATTAACATTAATTTTAGTGATTCCTTAGGTTTGCTGCTACAGGTAAGATATTGAGATGTGTTTTTTATTGCAATGTCGATAGCTTAGCATTAAATAAACAAAGTTTTCAAATTTGGTTTAAATATATCCATAAACATGCAAACTACGACAGTTTATTTATTCTCCATAAGAATAACATGGAAATTTAAATTTAAATTTTTGAATTATCCCTGTAACCGTTGGGCATACAACAACGCTTCAATATACAAATAAATTGTTTA